GATTCCGAGGATGTGCATGACATTCAAATTCAAGGTCACGATCATGCTCAAAATTGACCACAAACTTTGCACTTTTTCTTATATCTTGTATACTAAATTCCGAGATGTTTTGATATGTTTTCAAGCTTAGCGGACCCCTATTTGTGCTTTAGCTTACGATACACGGCTGCTACAAGGTCAAAGTCACAAGAGAGTATCCTTGCTAGAGGCTATTTCACTATTCAAGTCAGGCATAATAATTAAGACATGTTTTGCCATACTGAGGCTCTAAATGAATGCTTACAGCAAAATGGATGCCAGAGGCCCAGAATCGTGATCAGGCAGCGGCTACGAAATCATCACAAATGACCTTCCATGTGTAAAAAATCAACCAAATGTCATTCGAGGTCACATGAGGTCAACATAAAACTTGACCTTTTCCAAACAATATATAAGTCATTCGACGCGTCTCGACAAGACTAATGCGAAGGTACCACTGCCGTAGCTCCAGGACCATTTTTGTTGAAGTTATTTGCGAAAAAAAGAAACTAAAGGCTGAAACAGACTCTTTCCGCGTTCAGGAAATCGCATGCGAGAGCCTATTCAAATACATTGTAATTCTTCTCGCATCAATCGCTTGCGGGAGGTGCGTGCGATTGATGCGAGCGTGCTTCCATGTATTTGAATAGGCTCTCGCATGCGATTTCCTGACTGCGGAAAGAGTCTGTTCCAGGCTTAAAGGCTAAAGCCCCAGCTCGGGGTCGTTGCCCTGACCTCCGACCTCAGGTCACCAAAGTCACTTAAGTTTTTTTTTCTAAGTCACATGCTACACAACCGTGCTCGTAATTTGTCTTTATCTCTAAAACTCAATTTTTGGCAGCTGGTTGAAGTTCACGTCTGTGACGCCGAAGTTTGCCGTGCAGGAGTGTAGAAAAATCGGCCCTGAGACATTATCAAGGAGGTTAGGTCCAAATTTTTTGCTTCATAAGATGTCAAATTAATGGGGGCCGGATAAGGTACAGCAAGTTTCGTTTTTCTATCCCTAAGCGTTCGTGAGGTATCGCAAATATTCGCCAGGGGGAGGCGAAAAACGTCCCCCCTTCCGGGCCCGCGAGGATTAATGGTTAAACTCAATACGCCTTTGCATGAAACCTGAAACCAAAATAATTTTGAATGACAACATCTAGGGACAATGTGCTCATGGATTTTGCAGATCGGCGTTATCAGACAACAGTCGGGTCAGTCTCAAGCTTGCCCCCACTGGCGAAAATTCGTGGCGCCGCCACTGGCGCATTGAGCATTTATGGCTCCTCAGTCATCATGTCGCTCTTTGGGCACTGTCAGACAAGACGTTACGCACAACTCCGCCGGCTTTCGGCACCGCTCGACCGTCCCCGCTCCCCGCCACAGCGCGAGTGACCGCGTGCCGGCCCGAAACCGCCGCAGGCCAAGACCACAGAGGCGGGGCTTAGCTGTGACGTCATAACGTATCACAGACTGACTGGTGATAGCCTCTACACGCCGGGTGAAAATCTTGCTCGAAATTTAACATTACGAGTCAATGAGAAGTGCCTGAAATATTGAAATGGCGACAAAATATCTAAATTGTAAAAGTTTCGGCAGGTCTTGAAACGGCCATGTCCTGAGCTTGGTTGAATTTCTTCCTTGCATTTACAAATAATCGCGAAAAATTAGGGTCTCAAGCAGGGATGCGGAGCCGTGGAAATTTCAGACGGCTCCGGCTCCGGCTCCGGCTCCGGAGAAAAAAATCGGCTCCGGCTCCGGCTCCGGCTCCGGGTGAAATGTTATGGCGGCTCCGGCTCCGGCTCCGGCTCCGAGTAAAATGGTCCGGCTCCGGCGGCTCCGGCTCCGGCGGCTCCGGCTCCGACTCAGTACATCTCCTATGCAATCAATTAAATACGGGTGGAAGAAAAATTGGATTGGTACACGTAGCTTCTGTATTTGCATAACAACTAACAACTAAGGCTATTTTTCTCAACAGCACATGCAATCAGCGAACAGGGTATATAAGCACGTGGCGAAATGTTATGACTATACGGCCGCGTTACTCTATGCCATGACCGGCTCACCGCGTCCCCGCGCAAACGCACCTCGGAGAGAACTGGCAGAACAAAGGACTAGAAAGCATTGGAAAGGACATTGGAAACGCAGTCGCCACGAATCGGAGTTCACTGAACCATCGTAAGCTGACACCCATCTCGGCTGCATTGGGGGTGGGGGGGTGGGGGGGGGGGGGTGGGAAGAGACGGTGCTGGGAGTCGCAGTCCACTGCACTGGCTTCAAAACAATGGCCGTCACCTGATGACCGGTCCTCATGTTCTGGGGATGCAGTAGACGTGGGGGGGGGGGGAGCAGACAGGAAGTTGATTGCGTACTGTGGGATGCTGGAGATATTCGGCTTTTTTCATTCACTTGATGGCCCATGACGTACTATTGGTCTCAAGATAAGGGCCCAGGCGACCTGTAGTTTTGATGCGGTGAATACCCTTACCCTCGCCATAACTCGGGCCGAGTGCACCCCTCCTACCAGCCAGCGCCACCCCCACTCGAGTTGTGGCGAGGGTGAGGGTATTCACCGCATCAAAACTACAGGTCGCCTGGGCCCTTATCTTGAGACCAATAGTACCATATGTTTTACTGCCTTATACTGTCAAACCGAACTACATAGGTCAATTATTTTTTTTTCCTCTTCAAAAAATAAAAAGGAGCCGGAGTCGCCCCCTTTTTTGGCGGCTCCGGCTCCGGCTCCGGCTCCGGGCTATATTGTTTCACGGCTCCGGCTCCGGCTCCGGCTCCGGGCAAAATATGCCGGCTCCGGCGGCTCCGGCTCCGACTCCGGCTCCGGCTCCGCATCCCTGGTCTCAAGGGGTCTGGCGTTAACAGTACGTTAGCGGCTGGCAAGACGGGACACCATTACGGGCGAGGGCTAAATATTGGGAAAAGCTGATAAGCATTTTACTATGCTTTTCAGACCCCATGAGACCCTAATTTTCGGCGATAATTTATTTACTATTTGTCCAATTTGCTTCAAATTTTCACAATGCACATTTCAGCTCAAGCGCCAATTTTCGCCAATATGGTCTCTTAACAAAATATCAAATTTTAGGGTACTTGTTGCCTCGTAATGTTAAAATCGGCTCCGTAAATCCGTCAGTGGAGTAGAGGCTATCCGTGCGTAGGTGTGACGTCACAAACACGTGACCATTAAGCTCCGCCCTCCCGGCGGACGGGGTAGTGACCTTGGCCGGTCAGTCGGCTGCGTGGAGCGGGCGGGGCAGTAGGTAGCTGTCGCACCGGGGCGGCTCGTATGGACCATTGGACCGTAGCTGCCGTGCAGTTGTCGTTGCAGCCGTAATTTCATCGAATGAGCGCATAAGTAACGCACCAGCTGAAGCCCTCGACTAGTTGTATCTATCACAAATCTACGTACACCTTGTTCAGTCACAAAAATATGTATTTCCACACAAGATTCGGGGCTTGTGAAAAAACGCGCATAAAAGACGCTGTTGATTTCAAATGATTGCGTAAGATTATGTATCGCGTCAGACTACGTCAAAATTGCAAAACAGAATCACCATTAACATGATGCAATTTATGTGTTTGATATATGAAATTTGATTAGGAATGTATGCCGGCGTGATCGATTTATATCATCCCGGTGCAACTAAGCATTGAACACCTTCAGGAGTCAGGACTAATCCATTTGATCATCGACTTAGGTTGAGGAGGTCGCCAGACTAACTTTGCCCCCAGAGCTTGTGTGTTGAAATGCAAACATGAAAAGTAAAAGCCTAGAGATAGTTTCCTCACCATTGAGGACATACCTACTGTTACTTAAGTTTTACAAAAAAAGATACGAGTTTATTGATGATCGTTCTCGTGTAGTGCCCAACGTCCGCCTGCCACATTGCTATTTCTTTTTGTGCACGTCTTAACAATATAACACACACATGACACCGCGATAAAGGCCATTTCTACCATACGACACATTACGCTTCTGCCCCACCCGGCGCCCCGCATCGCTTCACGAATCACGAATACGGTCGTTTCTCTGGAGCGATGCCCCAGGCAATCGGCCGTGCCCGAGACTCTTCATCCTACTTTGTTGCTTTCTGCGCCTTCCTCAGAAACATTTATTGGCACTGCCAAATATATCAATATTTTTGGGTCAAGCAGAGGCTTACACATGATCTTATAGGTAATCGGGTAGTGACCTGACCCAACCTGACAATGAGATAGGTGCAACTCCGGCTTAAATAAATGTTCAGAGTCCAAGAGTCTATCCATCTTTCCTTCTACGGCCGGTTCCGTTCCAATAGATCCTACCTTGATTCTGATCATTCTGAATATTCTGAGCTGGTTCGACGTTTAAATACCAAAATAAGGTGAAGAGGATACCAAATGCCCTCAAACGGATAATTTTTTGGCTTTCGTCCCGAAGCAACTTTGCCAGCTTCACTTGTCTCCAGTATGTGGTCCCGCTCCGACCTCTCCGCGGTGCTGACACCGACTGAAGCGGCATAGACCCATCGCGGTCACGGCCAGTGGGCGGAGTTTAGTTGGGCCCGGCGCAACGTGATTGGCCAGCGCTCCTATCCAATCCGGTGCGGTAGCGAGCGAGCCTCTATCCGGGTGCAAAAACTGATTAACATTACGAGCCAACGACAAGTGCTCTAAATTTTGATATTTTGTTAAGAGACTGTATTGACAAAAATTGGCGCTTGAGCTGAAATATCGTCTGCCAAAATTTCAAGCTAATTGGACAAAAATTGAAGAAATTATCGCCGAAAAGCAGGGTCTCATGGGGTCTGAAATGCATAGTAGTCGCTTTGATCCTGATGTTTTTTAGCCATATGCGATGGATGTGGTCTTCCAGTGGAAGTTGATGACAGTTAAAGCTCAGCAATCGCGTCATTTCACCTCGGGCGTCACCAGTTAGTTTGTCAATTGCTGCTGGAACATCTGGCCTCGCTAGCATGAGTGTATCTCTTCTCTTCCAGAGCGCACAATGTCGAGTGAAGAGCCAATCCCCACACGGACCTTTAGCCGCGGCGGGGGGATGGGTCGCGGCCGGGCGCGACCGCGCCGGGCCGGCGCCCGCACTTGGGACGCTCGCGCTGGTCCCCCTCCGGACCATATCTCCTCTGTGGGCGAGCTGGGCCGGCCGACCTCCCAGCGGCAGCGGTGGCCGCCCGGCGCCCGGCCCGGCGAGCCGGCCGTCTTCAGCGACTCCGTGCTGGCCTTTATCAGCTCGGCCACGGCGGCGGCCCAGGGCGAGGCTCCGGCCGCCGAGGGCTCCGGCCGGCGGCAGCAGCGCGGGACGCCACCGGAGCGCCGGGACGACCCCAGACGGCGGCAACACTACCGGGACGGCGGGAAGGGTGGCACCAGCCGGGCTGGCCGGCCGCAGGGCGACGGGCCTCTGCAGCACAGCGCGCCACACCCGGCCGGCCGTCGACCGAACGGCGGCCACAGCGGCCCGGCGGCCGGCGGCTGGCTGGGCAGCAGCCGGTCCGAGGGCGCCGGCTGGTGCCCGGACGGCGGCCGGCGGCACGGCGGGCCACGGCGCGGGGGCCGCCGCCAGCCGCCGCGCCCGCCGGCGCCACCGGACCACCAGGTGAGCATCACCTGGCCGACGGCAACTCGGCTCCATTAAACGCTAATTATTGTCACGCCTGCCTATTTTTAGGTAAGCTAGCTTCAACTTCAAACGTTTGTTTTTGCCGCATGGTTACTGCGTGATGATTTTTCAGTCCGTTGTGTCTGTGTCCCGTCCACCAGTCCGGTGTGTCTGTGTCCCCGGGATCATTCTGTCCACCAGTCCGGTGTGTCTGTGTCCCGTCCACCAGTCCGGTGTGTCTGTGTCCCGTCCAAAAGTCCGGTGTGTCTGTTTCCCCGGGATCAGCCTGGTGTGTCTGTGTCCCCGGGATCAGTCCGGTGTGTCTGTGTCCCGTTTCCGTCCACCAGTCCGGTGTGTCTGTGTCCCGTCCACCAGTCCGGTGTGTCTGTGTCCCGTCCACCAGTCCGGTGTGTCTGTGTCCCGTCCACCAGTCCGGTGTATCTGTGTCCCGTCCAGCAGTCCGGTGTGTCTGTGTCCCGTTTCCGTCCATCAGTCCGGTGTGTCTGTGTCCCGTCCACCAGTCTGGTGTGTCTGTGTTCCGTCCACCAGTCCGTTGTATATGTGTCCCGTCCAAAAGTCTGGTGTGTCTATGTCCCGTCCACCAGCCCGGTGTGTCTGTGTCCCGTCCACCAGTCCGTGTGTCTGTGTCCCGTCCACCAGCCCGGTGTGTCTGTGTCCACGGGATCAGTCCGTCCACCAGTCCGGTGTGACTGTCCCGTCCACCAGTCCGGTGTGTCTGTGTCCCCGGGATCAGTCCGGTGTGTCTGTGTCCCGTCCACCAGTCCGGTGTGTCTGTGTTCCGTCCACCAGTCCGTTGTATATGTGTCCCGTCCAAAAGTCTGGTGTGTCTATGTCCCGTCCACCAGTCCGGTGTGTCTGTATCCCGTCCAAAAGTCCGATGTGTCTGTGTCCCGTCCACCAGCCCGGTGTGTCTGTGTCCCCGGGATCAGTCTGGTGTGTCTGTGTCCCGTCCACCAGTCCGGTGTGTCTGTGTCCCGTCCACCAGTCCGGTGTGTCTGTTTCCCCGGGATCAGTCCGGTGTGTCTGTGTCCCGTCCACCAGTCCGGTGTGTCTGTGTCCCGTCCACCAGTCCGGTGTGTCTGTGTCCCGTCCACCAGTCCGGTGTGTCTGTGTCCGGTCCACCAGTCCGGTGTGACTGTGCCCCGTCCACCAGTCCGGTGTGTCTGTGTCCGGTCCACCAGTCCGGTGTGTCTGTGTCCCGTCCAACAGTCCGGTGTGTCTGTGTCCCGTCCACCAGTCCGGTGTGTCTGTGTCCCGTCCACCAGTCCGGTGTGTCTGTGTCCCGTCCACCAGTCCGGTGTGTCTGTGTCCGGTCCACCAGTCCGGTGTGACTGTGCCCCGTCCACCAGTCCGGTGTGTCTGTGTCCGGTCCACCAGTCCGGTGTGTCTGTGTCCCGTCTAACAGTCCGGTGTGTCTGTGTCCCGTCCACCAGTCCGGTGTGTCTGTGTCCCGTCCACCAGTCCGGTGTGTGTGTCCGGTCCACCAGTCCGGTGTGTCTGTGTCCCCGAGATCAGTCCGGTGTGTCAGTGTCCCGTCCACCAGTCCGGTGTGTCTGTGTCCCGTCCACCAGTCCGGTGTGTCTGTGTCCCGTCCACCAGTCCGGTGTGTCTGTGTCCGGTCCACCAGTCCGGTGTGTCTGTGTCCCGTCCAACAGTCCGGTGTGTCTGTGTCCGGTCCACCAGTCCGGTGTGTCTGTGTTCCGTCCACCAGTCCGGTGTGTCTGTGTCCCGTCCACCAGTCCGGTGTGTCTGTGTCCCGTCCACCAGTCCGGTGTGTGTGTCCGGTCCACCAGTCCGGTGTGTCTGTGTCCCCGAGATCAGTCCGGTGTGTCTGTGTCCCGTCCACCAGTCCGGTGTGTCTGTGTCCCGTCCACCAGTCCGGTGTGCCTGTGTTCCGTCCACCAGTCCGGTGTGTCTGTGTCCCCGGGATCAGCCCGGTGTGTCTGTGTCCCGTCCACCAGTCCGGTGTGTCTGTGTCCGGTCCACCAGTCCGGTGTGTCTGTGTCCCGTCCACCAGTCCGGTGTGTCTGTGTCCGGTCCACCAGTCCGGTGTGTCTGTGTCCCGTCCACCAGTCCGGTGTCCGTTTCAGGCGGACGCGTCCGTGTGCCGGCCGCAGCCGGTGGCGGTGCGTGCACCGTCACCGTCCGGCGCCGAGCTGGGTCAGCGCGAGCGGCTGGTGGAGCAGCTCAGTGGCGGCCGCTACGAGTGCCTGGTGTGTGTGGAGCTGGTGCGGCCGGCCCACCCGGTCTGGAGCTGCGCCAGCTGCTACCACGTGTTCCACATGGGCTGTGTGCGCCGCTGGGCGCGCACCAGCAGAGCAGGTGGGTGCAGCCCCAACACGCGCCGCTGGGCGCGCACCAGCAGAGCAGGTAGGTGCCGCCCCAACACGCGCCGGCCCAGCGCACCAGCAGAGCAGGTGGGTGCAGCCCCAACACGCGCCGCTGGGCGCGCACCAGCAGAGCAGGTGGGTGCAGCCCCAACACGCGCCGGCCCAGCGCACAGCCTGCGGGCGGCACCATGTCGGACATGTTTTAAAACTGTTCGCCATCAACTGATTGTAGCTCCGGGCTGATCATTTGTAAGTTTTGTCCTCGCCGGGCCAGCTGATGCACTCCCCTCCTAAGATTTTTTTCCGCAGATAGCGTAAAAACGGTGTCACTTAGCTCCGCCAAATTAGGGTTACTACGGGCATCTATTTAACATTTGTCCTAAAAAGTTCGTGCCGATAACCTTAGACAGGGTCATTAAGTCACCAAAACCGGTACCTGACTACCTACATCGTGCAAAATAACACTGAAATTTCATGTATTTTGCTGTGAAATGCAGATAGATTCATTAATTTGATTCACTATTTTTTTAACTTTTGTTGAGGTCATCTAGAGGTCATGAATCATGATGTAGCGCTGGAAATGAGGGATTCTTCAAATAGCTCCAGACTAGGGTTACCCGCGTGCTCCGCAACGCGAAGAAGGGTTGTTTTTGACCCGTGGGTATTGGATTGGTCTGTGTCGATTTGGTTGCTATCCATTTCGTTCGATTGCTTTTTAACGGCCAAGCATTTTGTAATAAAACAAAAAAGATACATCGCATCGAGGTGCCCTGTCGTATTATCATGCGTTCTACTTAAGAATGATTCGAAAACTGGCATGAAGTCTTTTGAGGGCCATCGATGAATTTCACTAAAAATGACAATGTAATGGTTTGGAACATTTACATTTTTAAGAATACTGTTGCTCATCATGCAAAAATGAAGAGTGAATATTGGACAGAATTGAATGCTCTATCCAATGGTACCATATTCAATTGCCAAAGGCATCAGGTTATGCAGCAAAACCCGTGCAATTAATAAAGTGGCACATCATTGACAAACACCATTTTCTCCTGTGATTTGCACCACCTTGATTTGGATCAATCAGCTTTTCACAATTTTTATATGAGAGGCGGTACATTTCTCTTGCAAATAGGCGTTGTTTCAACTCACTCCATTTAACGGTCACCTAAAAATAAAATTAATTCCAAATCCGTCAAAAACCGCAATTTTTCCAATAAAAGTCTCCTCACGGGTGCACGTGGCGCGTGCCATCCCCTGCAACGCACACCATTCAATAGCCCGTTCGATTCTCTACACGATGCTGTTTTCCCCGTACCGATCGGGCCCACGGTTACCGAGATATTGCACGGGGATCGGACCCGTGTCGGGCAAATTTAGCCATTTTCGCCCGATTTTGCAAGCCGATTTATACATGCAAAGTCTATGACGCGATTTTGCACTTTTTGAGCACACGCCACGCGCTCCCTACCAATCTGATCAAGCCCAGACCCCTCAAAGGCACGTCGCGCATCCTTGATCTATAAGCTGTGTAAATTTCAGGGCGCTAGGTGCAACGGTCTGGCCTGTAGTCCACGCAAAGCACCACCAAGTCGGGACCTCGGTAACGGACAGACGCACCCTCCTCAAATAGTAATATAGACAAGCGGCTGCGCCACTTGCTTTGCTGCGTGGTAGGAAAAAATTGCGGCGCCAGCCAATTTGCTTTCGAATGGTGTTCGATTCAAATCGATGTGTCGTCTAGAAGCATAGATATGGACGGAAATGTGAAGAGATTTAAAAAAGAACTGCTCTGAGAGCTTTGTTGGGTGAAATTTGGCTGATACGGGGTCAAGACGGGTCAAGTGGTCAGCCCCGGTCACTTTGGGTCAGGCCAGGTCACATAGGTCACCTCTCGTCCGATGGGATCAGCCCGGGCCACTATTCTACTTTTGCCTCCACTACTACCCCTACCACTACCACTACCACTACCACTACCACTACCACTACCACTACCACTACCACTACCCCTACCCCTACCCCTACCACTACCCCTACCACTACCTCTACCACTACCACTACCCCTACCACTACCCCTACTACTACCCCTACCCCTACTACTACCCCTACCACTACCCCTACCCCTACTACTACTCCTACCACTACCCCTACCCCTAACCCTACCACGACCCTACCCCTACCACTACCCCTACCCCTACCCCTACCAACACCGCTGGGTCATGTCAGGTCACAGAATAATTGGATCCAATCAGTACTAAAATATTAGACTTAGAGTGTTCCCAGCCCTGCCCCTATTCGTGCCATTCCATTACGCTTAATCGTATTTGTCGGAAATGGCGCTTTGTGGCATATGTGGCGCATTGCGACAAACGCGGCGCATTTCCACCCGGCGATTGAGCATGCACCTTGGCACCAAATTGCACCCTTATCGGGCCATATTTGACAAAACTGTGCGATTTGCGGCAAAAATGGCGCGTTGTCACCAAAGTGGCGCATTGCGGCAAACACGGTGCATTTGTATACTCGTATCACAAACTGTTTCCATTGAACGAAAATCAACACATTTTTTCGCCACTTTTCATTCAAATTAATAACTTGCCGATCCGCCAATGCGAGGCACTCGCCGCCGATCGGCATGCATTTAGTCCACAAAGTTTGTCGACCCCGGCTCTCAATGAAGATCTACGAACCGATCAAAATTTCATTGGCGTTCTTCCAGCGCGCCCCACGCGCGAACCGTGCACCCCAGCGAGTCGGAACCTAGAAAAGGCGCTGACCCGCTCTGTCACCTATAAGGTGTGCAAATTTCAACCCCCTACGATATACCGTCTGCCCTGTAGGCCGACTAAATTGAACCCACTACACGGCGTGGCGGACAAACAGACAGACAGACAGATGGATCCTGTTCAAATAGTAAGATAGACAAGCGGCTGCGCCACTTGCTTTGCTGCGTGGTAGAAAAAATTGCGGCACCAGCCAATTTGCTTTCGAATGGTGTTTGATTCATGTCGATGTGTCGTCTAGAAGCATAGATATGGACGGAAATGTGAAGAGACTTTAAAAAAAAGAACTGTTCTGAGGGCGTTGTTGGATGAAATTTGGGTGATACGGGGTCAAGACGGGTCAAAGGGGTCAGCCCCGGTCGCTTTGGGTCAAGCCAGGTCACATGGTCACCTCTCGTCCGCTGGGATCAGCCCGGGCCACTGTTCTGCTTTTGCCTCCACCACTACCCTACCACTACCCCTACCCCTACCACTACCCCTACCACTACCCCTACCACTACCCCTACCCCTACCACTACCCCTACCACTACCCCTACCCCTACCACTACATCTACCCCTACCCCTACCACTACTACTACCCATACTCCTACCCCTACCACTACCCCTACCACTACCCCTACCACTACCCCTACTACTACCCCTACCACTACCCCTACCCCTACTACTACTCCTACCACTACCCCTACCCCTACCACTACACTACCCCTACCCCTACCCCTACCCCTACCCCTACCCCTACCCCTACCCCTACCCCTACCAACACCGCTGGGTCATGTCAGGTCACAGAATAATTCGTGCCATTCCATTGCTTTTACTCGATTTTGTCGGAAATGGCGCTTTGTGGCAAATGTGGCGCATTGCGGCAAATGCGGCGCATCTGTACCTGTTGTTTGAGCATGCACCCTTGCACCAAATTGTACCCTTATCGGGTCATATTTGACAAAACTATGCGATTTGCGGCAAAAATGGCGCCTTGTCATCAAAGTGGCGCATTGCGGCAAACACGGTGCATTTGTATACTCGTATCACAAACTGTTTCCATTGAACGAAAATCAACACATTTTTTCGCCACTTTTCATTCAAATTAATAACTTGCCGATCCGCCAATGCGAGGCACTCGCCGCCGATCGGCATGCATTTAGTCCACAAAGTTTGTCGACCCCGGCTCTCAATGAAGATCTACGAACCGATCAAAATTTCATTGGCGTTCTTCCAGCGCGCCCCACGCGCGAACCGTGCACCCCAGCGAGCCGGAACCTAGAAAAGGCGCTGACCCGCTCTGTCACCTATAAGGTGTGCAAATTTCAACCCCCTACGATATACCGTCTGCCCTGTAGGCCGGCTAAATTGAACCCACTACACGGCGTGGCGGACAGACAAACAAACAAACAGACGGATCCTGTTCAAATAGTAAGATAGATGTGTACACAATAAAAATGTCCACTCTATTTCATCGTTTTTGTGGTCAAGTGCCTCTGTTTATCTAATATGTGGCTAATTTTGTGTGTGTCCCAAAATATTTCGATTTGGGTGGGAAACGACATTCAGATAAAAATCATTTTGCACTCTATCTCTAATATCTAAGAGCAATTTTCCACTCCCAGCCTTACTGAGAATAAGCATTTGCATTGGTCATTTTACATATTAGGTAGGCATATTTTACCCCATTATATAGAAATGTATGCCATTCATCTACTCTTTTTGAGCCTGATCTGACTGGGCAATTTTCCACTCTTATCCCCCTTTTTGGAGAGGAATTTTCCCTCTGACACCCAAGCCAAAACACAATTTTGGGACACTAATTGTGTTTGGTGCAAGAATGCAAGGGCTGGGTCAACTGAGGTCAAATGAGGTTTAACTAATCTATATTATAAATGGTTTATTTAATAACTTTTTTTTCAAAAAAAGAAGCTCTGCGCACAGTGAAGCCAGAGCTTCATTGTGTTTTTCTTGATCAGCCAGAGAGAATTGTGTCAGTCGGCGGAGGTTTGGTCAATCGCTGTCATTTTTAGCACGTGCTATTTTTGTCACACGTGCCAAAAATGGCAACAATTCTGCTATTGAAGCCGATTTCACTCGTCAGCGAGAAAATCAAGATTTTGGAAAGATAAGCACTGATTGCTTTAATATGCCCGTTGTTTGTATGGTAGTTTGTTTTTGTGGCCTGAAGTTGGAACTTAAAATTTAAGCATCCGAAAATGATCGATATTGATCGAAAACATGATGTTGATGAAAAAATAATATGTTAAAACGCGCAGTGGAAGGGTTGCGAGTACTACGCCCAGTGGAAGGGGGGGGGGCGGATGTCGCCCCCCCCCTAAGATCTCAGCTCCCACTGGAGCTAGAAAGACGAAATTTGGAGGGTAGGTGGGGGCCATGGGGAACTCTGTTGTGTGTGAATTTCATGACCCTAGGTCAATATCTTCAAGGTCAAATGAGGTCAAATGTGGTCAAATCTGCCATATTAGCGACTTTTTTGCGTTTACACGCCGATAACTCAAAAAGTTACCGGTCGATTTCTTTAAATCTTTCACTATACGAAAGAACAAACATTTATGAGTATGTATGGTGAATTTCTTGATAATCCAACAATAAATATGGCAGTTAGAAGCCTGCTAAGGGTAAGATGTCGCTGGCTGAAGCGGCATCGGCCGACGCGGGAAACACGGCAATCACAATTTTGTGTTTACACACTCCTAACTCAAGTTGTTACCGGCCGATTTTCAAAATTCTTTGACTATATGATTGCCTGTACATTTCTCAGTCTTCTCACCGAATTTGACGCGAATCTAATATAATCAGCGGTAAGGAGCGCGATGTAAAGACGGAACCGTCCCGCCCCGGCACAGTCTACAATTCAGACGGCGCGTAACGGCCGCCGCGCCGCCGCGCCGCCGCGGCGGCAGGATGTTTGACTTTACACCGCTATTACCTACTAGAAAAGTTGAGAACCGATTTTCTTACTTCTTGCACGAGAAGATCCGCAATTCAATTCTGGACAGGTAGCCGAAATTTCACATTTATATTATCCTTGCGGCGCGAGTTATTGGCGAAAAACAGGAGTTACAGGAGGGGTGGGCGAAATCCGCCCCCCCCCCCTTCCACTGCGCGTGTTAAGTTTAGAGAGGTCATTTTATCCAGATGCGGTGGTTTACTTCTTAAAATTATTTTTGCCACTTGACGGCCGCGCTTCATCCGTCATTACATGGCGGTCGTCATAAACAAAAATAATTTCAAGAAGTAAACCACCGCATCTGGATGAAATCGCCTCCTCTTTCAGCTCAACATATGCCTTTTTCATCAAAATTATGTTTTCGATTAATATTGATCATTTTCGGATGCTGCAAATTTAAGTTCTAACTTCAGGCCACAAAAAGCTAAAAAGGGTATACGTCAACGTTGGACTACCATACAAACAAGGGCCATATTAAAGCTGGTTTATTCTTCTTGCACCAGGTGGCAGCACTTCTTTTCCAAAATCAGTGCCTGTATTTCCAAAATCGTGATATCCTCGCTGAGGAATGAAATCGGCTTCATCGCTGCCAAAAATAGCTGATAGCGTTGTCATTTTTGGCACGTGGTTGCTAAAAATGGCATGTGCTAAAAATGACAACGATTGACCAAACCTTCCCCGACTGATATACGAGTTTTCTCACTTTATCGAACATGATCCAGTACAACACTGCTATGTTTATTAAGAGATGAGCTTTCAAATGGCCTGAAGAACTCAATAACTCTGAAATAACATTTACCATTTATTTAAAGTGACCATCCCACCTTAACATTAGTTTTCAGTTGAGATAGTTAAATTGGGGCCCTGGCTTGCACTTAGGACGGTTCGGGCACTCACAACATCGAGAAACGCTTTAATTCGGAGATACTTAATTTCAAAGTTGCAGTGCTTTGGATTCAGAGGGGCCAATGCATTTGAATGCCCCCTCTGAATTTGTGACATCAGCGCAGATCTAGCGATTTTAAAATCTTATATGTAACAACATCTTTGTGAAGCAGTGGTGGTATATGCTGTTTGCGCTCCTTATCTGCCGCACTTTTAAGATATCAAATTATTGCTTCCAAATGACGTCGTAGGAACAATGAATGCTCTGAAAAACAAACAAAAGTAAATGTCTAATGTATCAAAAACCGGTTAATATTTTTCAATTAAATTTGGTAAATGATAGATGTTCATTTTTGCTCACCCTGAACAATGCGACACCACTAATATGCCAATTCATTAACTTTTTTGTAGGTGAAAGGATCCCTTTAACTAATTTTAGGCTGCAACAGATATTTAGTGCCAGAAATATTTTTCTTAGGGAACAGTTAAATGACGTCCTTTTAATTATTCTCCATTTAAACTAAAACGCGGAAGTTACGAATCGAAAATCTTTGCCATATTCTAGCGAAAGTTTTGCATGAATTCACCACCCCAACCCCCCTAAATATTGACTTAGTCAACAAATTTGCACAGGGCTAGATTGGTGATTAGTTCCTTTTGCCGTTCGCGTTATGGAGAACGCCCTTGCCCGGCGAGGGTAGGGTTAATACATCCCTGCGTTGATCCGTTGCCAAGGCCCTCTCCGTCGCATGTCGTGGCACAGCCCTTATGTTTTACGTTTATGCTCGTTTCTTGTCTGATGTGTCTCGAATGCGCCGCACATCGGCCCGGGTAGCGTGGACTTTGACGGCGGCGCCTCTGGCGGCAGAGTCCGGAGGCTGGCGTTGTCCGGCCTGTCAGAATGTGACCGCCGCGCCCCCGGCCACGTACAAATGCTTCTGTGGCAAGATGCGCGATCCGCCGTGGAACCGACGCGACACGCCGCATTCGTGTGGAGAGGTGAGTGCCCGACCCACTGACGCCCTCCGTCCACCCACTGACGCCCCCCGTCCACCCACTGACGTCCCCCGTCCCTCCATCCACCCACTGACGCCCCCCGTCCACCCACTGACGCCCTCCGTCCCTCCGTCCACCCACTGACGCCCTCCGTCCACCCATGACGCCCCTGTCCCACCATCCACCCACTGACGCCCCCGTCCCTCCGTCCACCCACTGACGCCCTCCGTCCACCCACTGACGCCCCCCGTCCCTCCATCCACCCACTGACGCCCCCCGTCCACCCACTGACGCCCTCCGTCCCTCCGTCCACCCACTGACGCCCTCCGTCCCTCCATCCACCCACTGACGCCCTCCGTCCACCCAATGACGCCCCCGTCCCTCCATTCACCCACTGACGCCCTCCGCCCCTCCGCCCACCCACTGACGCCCTCCGTCCACCCACTGACGCCCCGTCCCTCCATTCACCCACTGACGCCCTCCGTCCCTCCGCCCACCCACTGACGCCCCCCGTCCACCCACTGACGCCCTCCGTCCCTCCGCCCACCCACTGACGCCCCCGTCCCTCCATCCACCCACTGACGCCCTACGTCCCTCCGTCCACCCACTGACGCCCTCCGTCCACCCACTGACGCCCCGTCCCTCCGTCCACCCACTGACGCCCTCCGTCCACACACTGACGCCCTCCGTCGTCCCTCCATCCACCCACTGACGCGCTCTGTCCCTCTGGCCACCCACTGACGCCCTCCGTCCACCCACTGACGCCCTCCGTCCCTCCATCCACCCACTGACGCCCTCCGTCCACCCACTGACGCCCTCCGTCCACCCACTGACGCCCTCCGTCCCTCCGCCCACCCACTGACGCCCCCGTCCCTCCGTCCACCCACTGACGCCCTCCGTCCACTCACTGACGCCCTCCGTCCACCCACTGACGCCCCCGTCCCTCCGTCCACTCACTGACGCCCTCCGTCCACCCACTGACGCCCTCCGTCCACCCACTGACGCCCTCCATCCACCCACTGACGCCCTCCGTCCCTCCGTCCCTCCGTCCACTCACTGACGCCCTCCGTCCACCCACTGACGCCCTCCGTCCCTCCGTCCACCCACTGACGCCCCCCGTCCCTCCATCCACCCACTGATGCCCTCCGTCCCTCCGTCCACCCACTGACGTCCTCCATCCACCCACTGGCGCCCTCCGTCCCTCCTTCCACCCACTGACGCCCTCCATCCACCCACTGCCGCCCTCCGTCCCACCGTCCCTCCGTTCACTCACTGACGCCCTCCGTCCACCCACTGACGCCCCGTCCCTCCATCCACCCACTGACGCCCTCCGTCCCTCCGTCCACCCACTGACGCCCTCCGTCCACCCACTGACGCCCCTGTCCCTCCATCCACCCACTGACGCCCCCGTCCCTCCGTCCACGCACTGACGCCCTCCGTCCACCCACTGACGCCCCCGTCCCTCCATCCACCCACTGACGCCCCCGTCCCTCCGTCCACTCACTGACGCCCTCCGTCCCTCCCTCCACCCACTGACGCCCTCCGTCCCTCCGTCCACTCACTGACGCCCTCCGTCCACCCACTGACGCCCCCGTCCCTCCATCCACCCACTGACGCCCTCCGTCCCTCCGTCCACCCACTGACGCCCTCCGTCCACCCACTGACGCCCTCCGTCCCTCCGTCCACCCACTGACGCCCTCCGTCCACCCACTGACGCCCTCCGTCCCCCCGTCCACCCACTGACGCCCTCCGTCCCTCCGTCCACCCACTGACGCCCTCCGTCCCTCCGTCCACCCACTGACGCCCTCCGTCCACCCACTGACGCCCCTGTCCCTCCATCCACCCACTGACGCCCTCCGTCCACCCACTGACGCCCTCCGTCCACCCATCCACCCACTGACGCCCTCCGTCCCTCCGTCCACCCACTGACGCCCCCGTCCCTCCGTCCACCCACTGACGCCCTCCGTCCCTCCGTCCACCCACTGACGCCCTCCGTCCACCCACTGACGCCCCCGTCCCTCCATCCACCCACTGACGCCCTCCGTCCCTCCGTCCACCCACTGACGCCCTCCGTCCCTCCGTCCACCCACTGACGCCCTCCGTCCACCCACTGACGCCCCCGTCCCTCCGTCCACCCACTGACGCCCCTGTCCCTCCGTCCACCCACTGACGCCCTCCGTCCACCCACTGACGCCCTCCGTCCCTCCGTCCACCCACTGACGCCCCCGTCCCTCCGTCCACTCACTGACGCCCTCCGTCCACCCACTGACGCCCTCCGTCCCTCCGTCCACCCACTGACGCCCTCCATCCACCCACTGACGCCCTCCCTCCCTCCGTCCACCCACTGACGCCCCTGTCCCTCCGTCCACCCACTGACGCCCTCCGTCCCTCCGTCCACCCACTGACGCCCTCCATCCACCCACTGACGCCCTCCCTCCCTCCGTCCACCCACTGACGCCCTCCGTCCCTCCGTCCACCCACTGACGCCCCCCGTCCCTCCGTCCACCCACTGACGCCCTCCGTCCCTCCGTCCCCCCACTGACGCCCCCCGTCCCTCCGTCCACCCACTGACGCCCTCCGTCCCTCCGTCCACCCACTGACGCCCTCCGTCCCTCCGTCCACCCACTGACGCCCTCCGTTTCTCGTTGCCAGGTGTGCGGTCGAAGTCGCTCCGATGTGAATTGCGTGCACCGCTGTACGCTGCTCTGCCATCCGGGACCCTGTCCGCCGTGCAGTGCTTCCGTGACACGGTCAGATATAACTACTCCCTCCATGACACGGTCAGATATAACTACTCCCTCCGTGACACGGGCAGATATAACTACTCCTTCCGTGACACGGTCAGATATAACTACTCCCTCCGTGACACGGTCAGATATAACTACTCCCTCCGGTCTCCGTGACACGGTCAGATATAACTACTCCCTCCGTGATACGGTCAGATATAAATGCCTCCATAACACGGCTAGATATAATTACTCCTTCCATGAAACCGCCCGATATAACTACTCCCTTCGTGACACGGTCAGTTATAACTAATCCCACCGTGGCATGGTGAGATATAACTGGTAACTACTCTCTGTTTGGCACGGTCAGATATATCTAATCCCTCTGTGACACGGTCAGATATACCTACTCCCTCCGTGCCACGGTCAGATATAATTATTCCTTCCTTGACGCGGTGAGATAAACTCCCTCTCTTATTCTTATTCTTATTCTTATTATTAGACTTATTCAGCATATTCCCTCATGACGGTCAGCTAAAACGCCTGCGTCGTCACCAGTTCCGTGGCGTGTTGTGTGCTGTAAGGTATGCTGTGTGCTGTGTAGTGTGCTGTGCAGTGTGCTATATCCCGGTCCCGCCGCCAGGTCGTGTCCGTGCGGTAAGAAGACGGTGGAGATTCGCTGTGAGCTGGCGGCCACGCTCACCTGTGAGCAGACGTGCGGCCGCAGCCTCAACTGTGGCGTTCACCGCTGCGGGGAGCCGTGCCACCGGGGCGACTGCGCCGAGTGTCCCGTCCAGCTGGAGCGAGGTCAGTCGGCCCGGCATACACTGCAGCGGCTGGGCATACACTGCACTCTGCAGACGCTGGGTATACAGTGCAGCAGCTGGGTATACAGTGCAGAGGCTGGGTATAAACAGGGTGTCCCAAGAATTGACCGAACACCGTTCCGTGCTTCTATCCTCAGGATACTGAAATCCTTCTCCTCCACGCCGCAACCCCCACTCCGGGCTGGACAGGCACCTTTATCCCATGCGGGCTGCTCCCTTGGAGCGGCACCGCTGCTCCTGAGGGAGCGCACCCCGTAGCCGGATGCAGAGAGTGCTTGGGGGGGGGGGGGCTGGTCGGCCTGTCCCAAGATTCTTACAGATAAGGTTGGGACACCAGTAACGTGACCCTTTTTCCTGCTTTTCCCAACCCTCCTCACGATTTTCATAAGCCTTGATTTAGCCTTTTAAACACTTTGCGCAGAGGCGTTTGTAGTTAATTTATTTACAAAAACTAATTCAATGATATTTGAAATTTACAAACACATATTTACTCGCAATCTCAAACAAAAGTTGAATTTATTCGCGTTTCATTAGATTAATCAGCTGGCAACCATCATCCATCGTCCTGGATGTAGTCGAACTTGGCGCACTCGGAAAGTGTTCGAAGTTTGTGACGCTTACTAGTTGCTATGGCGACCGGGCAGTACCTACGCTTTTCATTCGTCAACAAGTGCTCGCGGTCACGCTTTTGAACACAGTCTTTATGCGTCAGTTTGTGTGACGCGTCATATCTGAAACATATTTCGTGAGGCTCCAAAACCATTCAGTTCATCTCCTTCAAAAGAAGTGTTTTGTATTATTTTCGATATCTTTTTTGGGCTTAATTGCTAGCTCCATTCATCATATCTTGCGTGAGGATAGTCATCACTCGGGGACCAGTCGTTGAAGGCAAGAAAAAACGACGAGGAGAAGGTCTTGTAAAAAGTCGCTGCGATTGCATTGAGCATTAAATGACGAAAATATTTCTACCCCCCCCCCCCCCCCCCACCGCCTCAGGCGATCACGTGCTGTCACCCACCTGGGCCTGTCCTCTGGACGGGCTCAGCCCCGGCGACTCTCTAGGGTGTCTGCCGAGCCGACACCAATGTCTCCCCCTAATTCCTATCATCCTTCCGGCTCTGAAATGGTCTTGTCAGACCGAAAGGGCCTAACCCAACAAAACAAACAAACAACCAAACAAATTGACGGAACACTTATTTTCTGGCCAAAGCTATGATTGCGCTCGATTCTAATTAGATATGTACTAGCAGCATAATTTCACAAGACATCCCTTAGCTATCGAGCTTGAAGACTGTGCTTTTGGTAGCTGGGCATGACTCGAGTCAATTATTTTCCGGAGTCAGCAGAGTGTAGCTGAGCAGGGCCTCGTCTAAGGGATTTTCAATGGGGGGGGGGGGCAGAGACTCAAGGAGCCAAGCCTAGGGTACTCCTAGATCATTTTTCTCACCGGATTTAGGTCACTTATTTTTCATCACAGCTCTGACCCATGATTTTTTTTAACTGAAAAAGAAAAAAACATAGTAGGCCATCCGAACCATGCCTTAATGTTAGTTTGTAACCCCTCCAGACAGTAATACCAGACGGACAGTAATAACCACCAAACAGTAATAATCATACAAAGAAATAAACCGTAGTTTTTGCACCCGCTACAAATTTCTTTAAAGTCAGTCATCTTTTCACCATCTCATCCCTACTGTTACATGCCTTACATGCTTTACTCTTAATCGTAGTTCAAATTTAACGACTTACTCCTGTTTATCTGTAAGAATCCTGCCCCCGTTATGGCTGAGGAGCCATCATCACTTATTTGTATGCGCTTCTTAGCTCGGCTCGTGCAAGGTAGAGTTAGAACGTTTCAAATAGAATATGTTCTGATAATAATCGAGCACAATGGGCAATTGATGCCCTCGAATTGCCTGAACATCGATCGTATCTTAGCAATTTTTTACAAGCGAATTCGAGAACGGGCGGAAAAGGCGGTATTTTCTATACAAGTATGCCTAGGCTATTGCCTACCATCTTTTTTTTTTGCAGATGGATGAGCCAAGGCAAAAGTGGGCCCTGAAACGGGATTGGGGACCATGCACAGTGCTCGTGCTTACTCGAAAAGTTGAGGAGCCCACTGATCTCTGTCGGCTCCAAATCGGCCTCTGTAGTCTGTTGGCTAACTGATCGCTGAGGCCTGTTGCCAGCCTTTGAGAGCTTTCTTCGTCAGCAACCACGTAGGCTGCAGCTGACGGAGAAGAGCCACACTAACCTTTTTGGGCATCACGCTGACCTCTGAGAGCCTATGTCGGCATGTAAGGACCCTACAGGGGCCTTGTATTCCTCTCCGACGACCTACACAATACACATGGTATCTGAGGTCCCACGTACCTAGATGTTAGCCTTCGCCGGCTGGCGGGCGGCTCCCGTGGGCCTTATGCCGAGGGCCCGCACGTTCACGTATATATATTACAGATTGACGCCCCGAGGACAGAAACAACAAATTGATGCGGAAATGAGTTTATGCGGGACACGGAGTTAGGTCGCCTGAAAAGACGAAATGTAACGTATTGCTGAGCGCAAAAAAAAATATTGGTATCAAGTAAACAAAATAAACACGTGAAAACAGTCACAGGTAATCGGGTATATCAATGTGCTCACATTTCTTCCATTTGTTTTTATGTACACTGACGCCTCGCAGTAAAAATTCGTTTGCTTTTTCGCTTTTGCCGGCCCCCCAGTAGTGACATTTTTACCCTGACTGGGGGGGAGGCAGGCCGGTGACGGGGGGGGGGGGGTTGCCCCACCCCCAGTTGACATGTTAGGCGAGGCCCTGGAGTGTAGTTTTTAGCCTAAGCCACCGAAAGACTATAATGGTGAATCAAGTGGTCCATTTCCTAAGCGGATTTTCGGCATGGTTCTTGCTGGAGAGCTCCAGCAGCTCATCTGCAAGCAGGCAGGAGCGAGCAAAGCGCAATGGCATCAGCGAGCGAAGCCAGAGAGAGCAGGAGATAACCTGATTAACAAGTGTGGGCGCGGGTGTCACTCTGCTGTCAGTGTGTTTCTGACGGCTGTCACTCTGCTATCAGTGTGTTTCTGACGGCTGCCACTGCTGTCAGTGTGTTTCTCACTGTTGTTTCTCCACTGTCAGTGTGTTTCTGACTGTTGTTTCTCCACTGTCAGTGTGTTTCTGACTGTTGTTTCTCCATTGTCAGTGTGTTTCTGACTGTTGTTTCTCCACTGTCAGTGTGTTTCTGACTGTTGTTTCTCCACTGTCAGTGTGTTTCTGACTGTTGTTTCTCCACTGTCAGTGTTTTTCTGACTGTTGTTTCTCCACTGTCAGTGTGTTTCTGACTGTTGTTTCTCCACTGTCAGTGTGTTTCTGACTGTTGTTTCTCCACTGTCAGTGTGTTTCTGACTGTTGTTTCTCCACTGTCAGTGTGTTTCTGACTGTTGTTTCTCCACTGTCAGTGTGTTTCTGACTGTTGTTTCTCCACTATCAGTGTGTTTCTGACTGTTGTTTCTCCATTGTCAGTGTGTTTCTGACTGTTGTTTCTCCACTGTCAGTGTGTTTCTGCGGCAAGGAGCGGCGCCAGGAGGCGTGCACCGCGGAGACAGCCGGCGCGGGCCCGTTCTGCTGCGGCCAGCCGTGCGGCCGGCAGCTCGACTGCGGCCGACACCACTGCGACAGGCTCTGCCACGAGGGCGAGTGCGGCGCCTGCCCGCTCAGCCCCGAACTGGTCAGTGGCAGCCCCGGCCCGGGCCCGAACTGGTCAGTGGCGGTCACGGCCCGGGCCCGACCCTGGTCCCTTCTTTACTAGTTAGTTTGTTTGGTTCTGTTTTAGTTTAGCAGATCGTTTGTTTCTGATTGGGTTGTTTGTGAGGTATGGGGTGGCCGTCTGAACCGGCTCATTTGGCACCGGTTAATCGGCACATTATAATTAACTGCTGCTGTTAATGTTGGCTTTGAAGCTGCCGGCTGCTGCTGCAGGTCTGAAATGCAGATACCGGTGCCGGCTGACGCCCGTTGTACAGGTGGTAGGTTGAAGGGCCGGGGTAGAAGTCTGCCTTCGTTTGTAACTTTTCTAGGCAGATAATCCTAATTTGGTGCCTCTTTTAGCTTCCTGATGTTTGGTGTGCCAGGTCTTAACCCGCGCCCCGTAGGGCTACCGGCGGACCCTACCACCCGTAGGGGGGGGGGCCGTTTCGGCCCCCCCCCCCTAAGATCTCGGAAAGTTACCGGCCGATTTTCAAAATTCAAACGGCGTTCGATAGCCCCACCCGGGAACTACCTTGTGACCAAATTTCATTGACCTAGGTCAAACCGATGACGTCACAGGTCAGGTCAAAGGTCAGATTTTCACCGTTCACAGGCATTTCAAGAAATGTGTTGTGAAATCGAGTAAATTGGTAATTTATTGAAAACCATCGATGGTACATTGTTCGTCAAACACATACTTTGCTATCTGAGGTCACTGATACCAGGTCAGGTCACAGCGAGGTCAGGTCACCGGGGGTCACATTATGAAAGTGTCGTGTGATACATGTTTTATGGTCTATTTTACATGACAAATGCGATTATGTGGGTTAGGTAGCCTTTGGGGCCAGCCTAGGTCACGTTTTGGTGAAGGTCAGGTCAAGGTCAGGTCAAATTAGGTCAAATTTCAAAGTTGATATTTTTGCATAAAATGGGTATCGATTCGATGCAGCTCGTCACGGGGAGTCCAATGGTGGTCTTTGTTTTGCTCTACGAGGTCTAGAATTGCCAAAAATTGAGTTTGAAAATTTGACGTCATCATTTTTGAACAGTTTTTTCGCTATAACTTGGCCAAAAAACGAGGTATCGATCTGAAATTTGGTATGTAGATAGAAGACGGTAGGTACTATCACATATACTCCGGTTTTTTCGAAAATCAAAAAACTTTTTGGATTTTTCGGCTTATATATAAAAAAATGCATTTTTGATTTTTGGGGGTCAAAACTCAAAAATTTCAAAAATCCGAGATAGCAGTTTTGTAGCCCTGTCAATTCTACACCTTTTGTGTGTTAATCATTTTTCTGTATCTTCCAAGCTGTAGGCCTGACAGGTCTTCTCGCGAAGGTCTTTTTTCGGTCGAAAATGACAGAACATGACGTCATTCTGACGTCATTTGTGGCCAACCTATCATAGCCTCTGGAAAAATTTTTGGTCACAATGTGTAAAATCGATGCCCTGAGGGGTCCTGAAAGTTTTGTGGCGATATCTCCAGCCGTTTAGGAGATATCGACCGAAAAGGACAGGGGGGGGGGGGCGTTTCGGCCCCCCCTACGGGGCGCGGGTTAATAGCAGCTGTTTGCTTTACAGACTGTTCACCTTTCTTGCAGCTTGGTTCTATATTCAGCCAGTGGATGCGTTGTTTTTGCTCCCCGTTGGGTGTTATGGTGACTCTTTCCGCCACCGCTGGCCTTACTGGGCTGCGCCCTGTCCCGGGTACAGCCCCTGACGCCCTGTCCCGGGTACAGCCCCTGACACCCTGTCCCGGGTACAGCCCCTGACGCCCTGTCCCGGGTACAGCCCCTGACGCCCTGTCCCGGGTACAGCCCCTGACGCCCTGTCCCGGGTACAGCCCAGTGATTGACGCCGTGTCCCGGGTACAGCCCAGTGACTGACGCCGTGTCCCGGGTACAGCCCAGTGACTGACGCCGTGTCCCGGGCACAGCCCCTGACGCCCTGTGCCGGGTACAGCCCCTGACGCCGTGTCCCGGGTACAGCCCAGTGACTGACGCCGTGTCCCGGGCACAGCCCCTGACGCCCTGTGCCGGGTACAGCCCCTGACGCCGTGTCCCGGGTACAGCCCAGTGACTGACGCCGTGTCCCGGGCTCAGTTGCCGCGGTGTCCGTCTCCGTGCGGCGCCGACTGACACCGTGTGCCGTCCGACAGGTGCAGCGGTGTCCGTGCGGCGCCCGGCCGCTGAGCGAGCTGCCGGCGCCGGCGCGCGCCTCCTGCGCCGACCCGGTGCCCACGTGCGGCGGGACGTGCGGCCGACGACTGGCCTGCGGTCGGCCCGGCCAGCGGCACACGTGCCGGGCCGCCTGCCACGCGGGCGACTGTCCGCCGTGCCCGCTGCAGACGGCCGTCCGGTGCCGGTGCGGCTTTATGGACCGCGAGATTGCCTGCGGCGAGCTCACCACCCGCGCCGACGACGCGCGCTGCCAGAAACGCTGCACCAAGGTGGCCGACGGGGACCGGGGGCGCTCTGTGCTGTGTACACTGGGCGCCCAGGCACTGTGCTGTGTGACACTGGGCGCTCGGGACTCTGCTGCTGTATGACACTGGGCTTTTATAACTATCTGCTCTTCCCTATCTACTATTTCACTCGTGGTGTTAAGTGTCACTGTTAAAAGTGACTTTAAAGTGTTGTAATTAGCTGTTTTGTTTTATCAATCCCATTCCCAAAAGGGGCGGTGAATGCCCTGAATGCTGTTTGAAATGTACTGGAAAATTTGTTCGCTTCAGCTAGTTGAGCAAAGACGGCTATATCACTGTGGCGCATGATTGCAGTCCGGTACTCCAGATTGCGGCGCTGGGCGTTTGGAGCCTATCGTCCGTGTGTGTGCCGCGGTAGTGACTGGCTGCCGCGTGTGTGTCTGCCCCGACAGAAGCGCAGCTGCGGCCGCCACAAGTGCGGCCAGGAGTGCTGCATCCTAGTGGAGCACCCGTGCCCGCTGACGTGCGGCCGCCGGCTGACGTGCGGCGTGCACACGTGCCAGCAGCCCTGCCACGTGGGACAGTGTCGGCCATGCATGGAGGCCAGTGAGTGCGGCACGAACCAGGCGAGCGCGCCCGGCCGCCGGCCGGCCGAAACGCTCCCTCTGAGCCCCTGTGTTGTCTGGTCGCTCTGAGCCCCTGTGTTGTATGTGGTCGGTGTGAGCCCCTGTGTTGTCTGTGGTCACTCTGAGTCCTGTGTTGTCTGGTCGCTCTGAGCCCCTGTGTTGTCTGTGGTCGCTCTGAGGCCCTTGGTCGCTCTGAGGCCCTGTGTTGTCTGTGGTCGCTCTGAGCCCCTGTGTTGTCTGTGGTCGCTCTGAGCCCCCGTGTTGTCTGGTCGCTCTGAGCCCCTGTGCTGTCTGGTCGCTCTGAGCCCCTGTGTCGTCTGGTCGCTCTGAGGCCCTGTGTTGTCTGTGGTCGCTCTGAGCCCCTGTGTTGTCTGGTCGCTCTGAGTTCTTGTGTTGTCTGGTCGCTCTGAGCCCCTGTGTTGTCTGTGGTCGGTGTGAGCCCCTGTGTTGTCTGTGGTCGCTCTGAGCCCCTGTGTTGTCTGTGGTCGCTCTGAGGCCCTGTGTTGTCTGGTTGCTCTGAGGCCCCGTGTTGTCTGTGGTCGCTCTGAGCCCCTGTGCCGTCTGGTCCTGGTAGCTCTGAGCCGTAGCTGTGTCTTCCGGCCGGACTGAAGGCGGCTGGTTTCCGTTGCTGGTCTGCTCCGTGTCCGCTGACGGTGTTCCGGTGTGCGCCAGGTTTTGACGAGCTGCACTGCGAGTGCGGCGCGTCGGTGTTGTACCCGCCGGTGGCGTGCGGCACGCCGCGACCGCCCTGCGACCAGCCGTGCTCGCGCGCCCACCCGTGCGGCCACCCGGTGCTGCACAGCTGCCACAGCCAGCCAGAGTGTCCGCCCTGCACCCAGCTGATGAAAAAGTTCTGCTACGGACGCCACGAGGTGAGCGCTTGGCCCGACGACGGCGGCGCACCAACTGCCCGGCCCACAGTGATGCAAATGGGGTTCACGAGTGGCCAGCAATACCAAAAAGTCAAGTTTACCAAACCAAGTAAATCGCTATATGACTAACCAAAGAAATGTTTGGTGCATCTGAAATCACATAGTTTTCATATTTTTGTCAAAACCGGCCTCGTGTGTGATTGTCAGAAGTCGTGACATTTTCTATGTCGTAGAATGACTGTCAGATACTTGCAAGTTCAAACGCCGCTAGCGTGCGTTCATTTAATGGTGCGTTTCACGCGTAACGCTATGAGAAACGTTTTTCGTAAATATCTAGAGCATCGTTGTTTCGATTGCCTTTGTTTTTGGGTATGTTATGAAGGACGTTAACCTCGTCATCACAGAGTGGTCACAGTTTTTTACTTAGAAAAATATTTGCTTTCGTTTCACCTACAGCAGTTTACACAGTGTATGACCGTTAGTGCACCATACCACAGGGCCTCGGCTAACATGTTAACTGGTGGGCCAAATGGCCCACCAGTGACCCGAAATGGCCCACCAGCCTCAAAGATTTGGCCCACCAGTAATTTTCCGAAAAATCTAACTTTTCACATTTTACATCACGACGTAGGTAACATTGTGATACAGACAGAGACAGAGGCCCTGCTACATTGTTGTATTAATAAAACTTAAAAGTAAGAACTTGATCTTTGTTGTCCGCCTAATACCATCACCATTCCCGGCTTCTTGAGACAGCCGTAGGTTAAGCCTCGGTCACACTTCACCGGATTGGACCAATGGACGAGAAACGGACGGCGTCCGGTGATGTCCGGGGGATGTCCGTTCGTTTCCGTTGGACGTCCGTTTCTCATCCGTTAATATCCGTTCTATGTCCGGTGGTGTCCGGTGTGCTCAACCGGACACCACCGGACATGGAACGGATATTAACAGATGACAAACGGAAGCCCAACGGAAACAAACGGACATCACCGGACGCTGACAGTTCTCGTCCGTTTCTCGTCCAATGCGGTGAAGTGTGACCGAGGCTTTAAATTTTATGCAATAATCGTGAAAGACGACTGCCTCTGTCAATTACAGATAGTGTCGGCGGCTTCCAGCCGATCGAGGTCTGCGAGAGTTCTTGCAAGCTTTCCGATTGATCGAGTGGTTGCAGTCACATAAGGCCGTGTTACACTGCCGAATTTTGGCCACGACCCTGTCGCCGAATCATGTCGTGTAGGAAATCGGCGAACAGTTCACCGGCAGAGGCGAACAGTTCGCCGACAGAGCCTGATTTGCAGAAAACGGGTGGGGGCCCCCCTAATCGTGCGCGGGTCGAAGCTGATCCATGATTCGGCGAACATCGCGAATGAATGGCGAATCTGTTGCGAATAGTCGGCGATACCTTGGCAACAAGTCGGCGCACGCAGCGACATGTCGGCGGCGACTCGGCGACTGTTTGGCGATCATGTTCGTTTATTATATGTTCGGCGAACGACCACGAAATTTTCATTTTTCATGAAATATTCGTGGCGGTCGTGACGAACCGTAAAAGTCGCGCGGTGAACACCGACTGGTCTGCGAAATGCCAAGACCGTGGAAGAAAGAGGCCGAATCGGTCCGCGACATAGGATGACTTGCATATTCGTGCACATTCGTGTACCAAAATTCGGCAGTGTAACAAGGGCTTTAAGCATCAGCCGCTGACCAGTCGGTTATAAAGCCCTTGTTACACTGCCGAATTTTGGTACACGAATGTGCAGGAATATGCAAATCATCCTATGTCGCGGACCGATTTGGGATCTTTCTTCCACGGTCTTGGCATTTCGCAGACCAGTCGTTGTCCACCGCGCGACTTTTACGGTTCGTCACGACCGCCACGAATATTTCATGAAAAATGAAAATTTCGTGGCCGTTCGCCGAAATTATAAACAAACATGATAAACAAACATGATCGCCAAACAGTCGCTGAGTCGCCGCCGACATGTCGCTGCGTGCGCCGACTTGTTGCCAAGGTATCGCCGACTATTCGCAACAGATTCGCCATTCATTCGCGATGTTCGCCGAATCATGGATCAGCTTCGATCCGCGCACGATTAGGGGGCCCCCCACCCGTTTTCTGCAAATCGGGCTCTGTCGGCGAACTGTTCGCCTCTGTCGGTGAACTGTTCGCCGATTTCCTACACGACATGATTCGGCGACAGGGTCGTGGCCAAAATTCGGCAGTGTAACACGGCCTTAAGAAAAACTACGAATAAAGAACAGACCAGTTCAGACGGTCGGTGATAAGCATGCGAGCGATCTCAGACGGCTCGCCGATAGACACGATATAAGCCAGAGTCAAACTAGAGGTAGTGTCGGCGACTTCCAGCCGATTGAAGTCTGCAAGTGATATTGTGCGTCTTCACGACCGCGGCCGTAAAGTTATCGTCCAAAGTTTTGTAATCTGCGTCAATATTTTGTGCATAATTACTTGTGCGATTTTATGTGCACCGCCGGAGTATCACCACTGAGAGGGTTGAGGGTCCCTACTCTCTCCTCTCTCTGAAAAGTCGGGGAGGGGGGGGGGTTCGAGCTCGTTTTTTTTTTACTTTTTCCATGCCATCCTGACGTTTTTTTTTTTTGCCGAATAAAGTGGCCAAAATCTGGGGAGAAATCGAAAATGGGGGGGGGGGCTATGGCTACGAAGGTCAGTCCATGTCGCTGCCCAAGTGGCCCACCAGTCAAAATTCCTTAGCCGAGGCCCTGCCATACCATATCATTCCCTAACCATTTCTACAGAGTCACACCGTGAAAGAATTGAGGCGCTAGCACAGGGCAGACCGGCGCTATTGAAGTTTTTGTCCGTCGCGGTCGGGGCGGATTGTTTTCAACGCGGATTGCAATTTTGACATACGTTTAACTTTGACCTGCTATAAGTAGGTCAAATATTGACCTTAACTCAAAAGTGATATGCTCACTCGCGAGATCTTGGCAAGAGTAATCCGTTGGTTTTTGTCGCGAGGCGCTAGGACACTTCGTTTAGGAACAGCAGAGGGATGCACCGACGAACCCCCGCTGAGGCCGTCCGCCCGCGGCGCGGCCGCCCGGGCCGCCCACCGCGCCGCGGCACCCGACCGCAACGGACGAAAACTTTAGTAGCGCCGGTCAGCCCTGTGCTAGCGCATTAATTCTTTCACAGTGCGACTCAGAAATGATTAGGGAATGCTATGGTATGATGCACTAACGGGCACACACTGTGTACACTGCTGTAGGTGAAACGAAAGCAAATATTTCTAAATAAAAAAACTGCGATTGCAAAATGATGACAAATTGTTAGATCAACGCCAAACCAAAAGAGATACGTCTTTTTGTGACCCTGCATTAGAAGCAGCAGACTTTGGGGATCACTGCCATGCATAATTTTTGCCATTTATATGAAATGAATGCACGCTAGCGGCGTTTGAAGTTGCGAGTATCTGACAGTCATTTTACGACATAGAAAATGTCACGAATTCTGGCAATCATACACGAGGCCGGTTTTGACTAAAACATGAAAATCATGTTTTTTGGGACACCCCAAACATTTGCCTGAATGGCCATATTAAGATTTATTCGATTAGGTGAACTTAAAATTTGGGCCTTTTCGGTATTTATGGCCACTCGTGAACCCCATTTGCTTCACTGTGCGGCCTGGAGATTCTCCGGCCGGTCCTCTAGCGTTCGACATTCACTGGTCGCGCTCAGCCAAGAGCTGTTTTCTCCTTTTGTGCAGTGGCGTTATGATCTTGCCCTGATGAGACCCATAAAATCAAATTAATGTAGCCTGTGGCGAGGTGGGGCCATGTGACGTGAACTCGCTATGGTACCCGTTCTCACTGTGTGACCTTGCCGGGTCCGCTCTGACCGTGTCCACCGTTGCGGCAGGAGAGGAGCAGTGTGCCGTGCCACCAGACTGCCGTCTCGTGCGGCCGGCCCTGTGGCAAGCCGCTGCCCTGCCGTCGCCACCAGTGCAAGGTAGGACCGACACCAGTGTAGCACCCTGTGTTGTCTGTGGTCGCTCTGAGCCCCCGTGTTGTCTGGGGTGAGGCCCCGTGTTGTCTGTGGTCGCTCTGAGGCCCCGTGTTGCCTGTGGTCCGTGTGAGCCCCTGTGTCGTCTGTGGTCCGTGTGAGCCCCTGTGTCTTCTGGTCGCTCTGAGCCCTGTGTTGCCTGTGGTCGCTCTGAGCCCTGTGTTGCCTGTGGTCGCTCTTAGGCCCTGTGTTGCCTGTGGTCGCTCTGAGGCCCTGTGTTGTCTGTGGTCCGTGTGAGCCCCCTGTGTTGTCTGTGGTCGCTCTGAACCCCTGTGTTGTCTGGTCGCTCTGAGCCCCTGTGTTGTCTGGTCGCTCTGAGCCCCTGTGTTGTCTGGTCGCTCTGAGCCCCTGTGTTGTCTGGTCGCTCTGAGCCCCTGTGTTGTCTGGTCGCTCTGAGCCCCTGTGTTGCCTGTGGTCGCTCTGAGGCCCCGTGTTGTCTATGGTCGGTGTGAGCCCCTGTGTCGTCTGTGGTCCGTGTGAGCCCCTGTGTCTTCTGGTCGCTCTGAGCCCTGTGTTGCCTGTGGTCGCTCTGAGCCCTGTGTTGCCTGTGGTCGCTCTGAGCCCTGTGTTGCCTGTGGTCGCTCTTAGGCCCTGTGTTGCCTGTCGTCGCTCTGAGGCCCTGTGTTGTCTGTGGTCCGTGTGAGCCCCCTGTGTTGTCTGTGGTCGCTCTGAGGCCCTGTGTTGTCTGGGGTCGCTCTGAGGCCCCGTGTTGAGTCGGCTGGGATCACTGTGAGGCGGGGACCGGCCGGCTAGCTCCGAACGTGTCGCTGGCGCTGCCCGGTCGCCGCCGACCGCTGCCGTGCGCTGCCCGGTCGCCGCCGACCGCTGCCGTGCGCTGCCCGGTCGCCGCCGACCGCTGCCGCGCCTGTGTGACGCGGCGATCTGTACTCGCCGCGATGTTGTCGCGGTCGCCAGCTGACGCCCTGCTGTGTGTGTGTGTGTGTGTGTGTGTGTGTGTGCGCCAGGAGCCGTGCCACGCGGGCCCGTGTCCGGAGCTGGCTGCCGGCTGCAGGCAGCCCTGCCGGGCTGTGCGTGGCGACTGCCAGCACCCGTGCGGCGCGCCATGCCACGACGGCGAGTGTCCCAGCACGCCTTGCCGCGCCCAGGTCGGTGGTGCGCGCCCGCTGCGGGCCCATACGGCTTGTATAGTTGGGGGTGCCCCATCCTTCCCGTCGTACCTCCAAACGGATGATCGTAGGACGGAGAAAACTGCCATCGAAAGCTTGAACGAAAGTTATCCTTAGAGCACATTTTTTGCTGAAGTAGATCACAGTTCAGGTCAAAGTCATGTCAAGGGTAAAAACTGCAAGTTTCGCCGTTATTCGCTTTGAAATCCAGTTAGCCAGGAATGGACTGAGATTAATCACCCAGAACCTGTTATTAAGCTACCAATACAAGGTGCCGCAGCGCATAAGATCTCATACAAAGTTCGAGGCCAAAGTCAGGTCTGATCACCAAAAACTATCACAGACTAGGATGGGTGCAACATATGTTTGTAACATATGTTGCAACATATGGAACAAAGCAGGATGAAGTTCAGGTCCAGGTGAAGGTTAGGTCAAATATGATGAAATTTTAAAATTTCGTAACCTGCGCCGTGTTGGGAGTGTTTGGAAACTCCTTTGCGGTTTTCCATGAATGTCAAAGACAGCCGGGCGTAGCACGCCTTTTTATGGCATCTTTTCTACACATGTAAAAATTTCAGGCCCAGGTCACTAAGTTCAGGTCAGCATGTCACGTCAAGTGACCTCACATGATAATTTTTAATGCTCGTCATAGCTACGATGACTACGATTTGAGACTTTCAGCGATTGGTAAGAGCAACAGTTTGTATAAAACGTATGCCTCGGAATTTTGATATCGGTGATCTAAGGTCAGGCTAATTTCGCGACCTTTCCATTCACGGTCCTTTGAAAGCTCATGTGGTCCACAAGGAAAATTGAAATATACGGACCATTCGAAAACCGACGGTGAGTTGATTCCATGGATGTATCTTATATCAAAATTGTTTGATGGCCTTTTTTGAATAGTTTTTTTTTTCTGGTAAAATAGTAGTATTTTTACATAACGAGCTCTTCCAAACAATTATAAAATTATAGGTATGTTTTTTGTAAGATTGTTTCATCGTATAGCGCCAAATGAACTATATTTGATTACACATGCTCAAATATTTATATACGCCTTCCACAGCCCACAATAGGGCGCAGTCACACGGCTGAGTCTCACAAGTATGGACCGAAGTCAAAGCACCCCTCAGAAATATAAAATGACCCATATTAACCCTCGCCCGCACATGCCATTTTCCCATCCTAGAACGCACATGGGGGGGGGGTTGCCACCCCCCGCGCCATTTCGTTCCTGTTGGAGATAGAGCTTCGCGGTAAAGACCAAAAAGATTCTTTGGGAAGAGACGAATCGAATGATACCCAGTTTTACCTTCTCAGATCAGTCATTGACCTTCCAGGTCAGGTCAAACTAAAAAATGTTGCTGTGTTGGGTCACCGTTGGATATCAAGTGCGCTGCTTATCATATACCGATGGCGATGACGATGCCGTTTTGTGGTCCCAAGCCAGCTAGAATCTCTTTGTCACACTATCCGACCAGGTTTTTGCTGCTGAGGTCATTCAGGTCAAGTTAGGTCAAGGTCAATGATATGTTTGTATGTCTGTGTGTGTCTGTGTGTATACTGATGTGTGCACTGTACACCGATTGTTTATGTGTCCATATTGCATGAAATCATGATTTGAGAAGCTTTTACCAAAAATGCAGTCAAAAAACTTCACGAAAAGTAAATTCTGCTTACCTAAAACGCAATTATTTTAGATGACCTAGGTTGACCTTGACCCTGACCTTGACATCTGTACGTCGTCGAACAACATGTTCCATGATAGGTGGGAGGTAAGACTGGCGAAAAAGGCCGAAATCAAGGTGTCAAAAGCTCACAAGGCCCACAGCCAACGCGCGATGTTGAGAATTGGTCATTTGGGTCATGACATGACCTGAAAAAACAAGGTCATATCTCCGAAACCAAAAACCACAGAAACTTGAAATTTTCAGTGGACATCAAGAAAGGATAGAGGAGCAGCTATACGAAAAATCAGGCTTCTAGGCTCTAGCTCTAAAAATGTTGAGTGCAGAGCAGTAAGACTACCTGGGGGGGGGCAACCCTCCCCCCATGTGCGGGCGAGGGTTAACCCGCGCGGGGCTGGGGTCTCCAGCCGAACGCGCGGGGCTGGGGGGGTAAATTTTACCCCCCCCCCCCTGTTATCTCCCGAACTAATGGTCCGATTTGGAAAATTCAAACGCCAATCGAAAGATCTCATCACGAACAACTAAAAACAAGTACTTACTTTAAAGTTTGAGGTCAAGGTCAAGGTGGTCAGGTCAAGGGTACAAATTGCAAGTTCCTACAGTAACGGCCTTGCACCGTAGTTGCCGAAGAATGGAGTCATGGACTGAGACTGATTGCCCAAAACGTGTTCTTAGGCTACCAAGTAGAGTTGCAAAATTTCACTACCGCACTACCGGCATGCCGGTAATTTTTCACTACCGCAGGTTTATTCGTGGTAACTGGCATGTGTTGCCGGTAGCATGCCGGTATTTTTGATTTTGTGCAAAAAAAAATATCAGCAAATGATTCAAACTTTGGACACTAAGAGGCTCTCAAATTGTAGTAACAGCAATACTAGCCACTGCAAGATACATTTTGTGGTAGAAGTTCCATTGCTAAGTGTAGGGGTAACACATGGACCTCAGCATTTCACACAATTCACAGGCTTGGTTATAATTAGAATTGTCAAGAATCTACTGTGGTCTATAAAAGGAAGAATACTCATTCATGTTGCAAAAGAACGATAAACTAGTAAGTCTGATGTTAGGTAATACGTATAGCACAATAAAATAAATCAATGTTCATGACAACATTCCCTAGGGGAAAAGGCAGAATCAAAACACCAAAAAACACAATGTTTGGAAACCGGCCTTGAGTCCTGAGATCATGAGATGTGGTCTGAGAAACTCTACAAAGAATTTGACACTGAAAATCCAGCTGAAAAGGCAGGTGTTAGGTAGCCCTGAGTCTGACTTTGGTCCCATTATTAAATGAAAATGGATTTAAACTGGCATTTTGTCTTATCTTTACAAGAAAACACATTATGCAGGCAAAATTGACAAAAAGTGGCGCAAACAATTAGACAACCAAGGATTTACTTTTAAGATTCTCTCTCCCCTAATGAATGGATGTAATCTGATGACGTAATATTTATTCATATACCCTTTTGGTTGAATAACTGAAGAGAGATGAATTTCTTTGCAGTGAATTACACTACAATGTTGATTTCATTATAATTTAATATTGTGTTGGGTAATTTTTATCAATATAATCATTCACGAAGCATTGGCTTGCAGTCGTTTAACATTTTTTTTGCAGCGTTTTAATCAGCTGGTTAAAAGCCTCTATTATGGCGCATCTGTTTCGAAATCGATAACCTTGTGTTTGTTCCCGCTTGAGGTTGGGGAGAGGATGGAAGATATCGTTTTTATACATATTATTTGGTGACTATTCTCAGGACCAGTGAGTTATTAACACATTTTTACATGATTCGTATCTTATTCACGAACCAGCAAGCCATAGTGGATAGGAAAAAGTAGATGTTGATCTCGCATCCTCAGTTAGGAAGATGGCCTAATCTGTACTTGTTAATCTATGTTTTGACCATCTATATTTTAAACATTTGGCTGGTGCCTGCAACATTTTAGGAGAATATGGAAAAGTAGAACAACAGTGAAATGTAAATGTGATTACTGCTCACTGTCCAGTCTTCAAAAACACATTTCAGTAATTCAAGTCCTTTTTGTCCTCACCTTTTTGATGAATGTAATAGTTTTTTTTTGTAGGCAATACTTCTTTGATTACAGGTGATATTTTAACAGTTATAGACTGGAATTGAGTTTCAAAATTGTGGGTATTTGTGGGGCCAACTCAGCCAAAATCAGCCTGCTGGTATTTGTGGTTGGACAATGGATGGCTGTTGGGTGGGAGGGGTACTGAAACTGCCAAAATGTGGCATCTCTTGCAGGGGTAAGCTAGAATCAAGAATGCAGGTTTTTTTAGTATGCCGGTAATTTGGCGTTTTTTTTTTGCTTGGGGCGTGGTAGCATGCCGGTATCCCAGAAAATTTTTGTGGGGCGGGGCGGTGCCGGTAGCAGCCTTTTGGGAAAACTTTGCAACTCTACTACCAAGACAATATTCGTTGCATACAATATCATTCAGAGGTCAAGGTCAAGGTCAGGTCAGGTCAGGTCACCAAAAAAATATAGAAAAGGGCATGTGCGACACATGTTTTATGGGTCATTTTACTCATAGAATTCAATAGGCACACTCAATAAGTGATATGGACCACCTCTGGATGAATTTCAGGTCGAGGTCAGGTCAACGTCAGGTCAAGTGAGGTCAAATTTTGAAGTTGGTTGTTAAGGCCTAAAAAGGTGTCTATCTGATGCAGTGTTTTCACGGCGAATCGAATGGTGCTATTTTTGTTTCCGTACGAGGTCTAGAACTTCCAAAAAATCATTTTTTTTCAAAAATTGTGTGTGTCGTGACGTCATAAAATTTTGAATAACTTCCACATTTTTGAACCGATTCTACTAAAAATTGGTATGTAGGTGCACTTAGACCACTCCTCTGACATATAATCCGGTTTTTTCGATACACTTAAAATTTTGGATTTTAATTATTTTCCCAAAAAGTCAGTTTTTGAAAAAATTTGGGCCAAAATCCAAAATTTTCAAAAAACCGAGATAGCCATTTGATAGACAAAGTAGAATTACGTTTAAGCTTTTTTTACGTCTTGATTCCTTTAAAAATGAAGATGTTAGCGGCGTTTGAAATTTTGCCGTTTTTGAGGCAAAAATGGCGAACATGACGTCACTGAAACGTCAATTTCTCAAAAAAATTCCGACGGATTTATCTCAAATTTTCAGGGAACGTGTCAAAGTGATGTAAGAAAAGGTACTGAAAGTTTGGCGGCGCTGCGCGCCGCCGTTTTCGAGATATTGCAAAAATTCGCGAGGGGAAGTAAAATTTACCCCCCCAGCCCCGCGCGGGTTAACTTGTAGACCCAGTGCTCTCGGCCCGTCTGGCCGGTCATGGAAGGGACATTTCGTTCTACCAAACAATTTGGTTGTTAGCGATTCATTTCGCTATCAAAGTTGTACAGTGTACCTATAAAGAAAATGTATTATACTGTCTTGATTTTTAGCATGCTTTGTTTGCAACCTTCCAATCATTTTCCCCTCTGTTTCCATAACAACTGAGCGTTTTTTTTTACGCCGAGTGACCAGAACCGGGCAGCTAATCTGCGGAGGTTCTGAGGGCGTGACGTCGCCCTTAGCCGGCGCCCCGTTGGGCTATTTCCGGACCCCGCCACCCGTCAGTGAGGAGGGAATTCCTGTCCCTTCCCTATGATCTCGGAAAGTTACCGACCGATTTGCAAAGTCCAGACGGCAGTTTAAAGCTCCGCTTATGAATTATCAGAAAAGCGTGCGAAAATGTACTAGTGGTGGTGACCTGACTTTTGACCTGACCTAAAAGTGGCGTAAAGTGTGATCATCAGTATGTTTTTACGCTTTTTCGAATGCCGCTGGCCCGCTTACCGCATGTCGCTACGTGGCCCAGGAGCCTGTGTAAGCGGGATGGGGGGGGGGGCGTGAAAACGCCCTCCCGCTCCAGTACCGTACGGAAAACTCAGATCATGCCAAATGGCCTTTGTCGCCGGGGCGTCCTTAAACGTATGCCGTCATCTCAGACCACCAGCACGGCGCGGGCTAAAAGAGCTATCGATTGCGCTTTTTCGGGGCTCTATAGTGTGATTCATTCCCATTGTATCGATGCGCTGATTAGTTTAAAAAAGTCAGAATCGGAGAAGCGAAATTCGTGATAATTTCCTTTTGATGACCTCCAGTGACCTCAATGACGACCTGATTGAAAAATGACCTTCATGATCCTGAAAGATCTCATGGCGAGCTATCTATTGCTTTTCCGCGTCTTTCTAGCTTTGTTTCCGAGACAAATGTGGTTTGGCCAAATATGACACCCCCCCCCCCCCCCGTCATGGCGAAGTTGGCTGAGACGAAGGGCGCGGGCTAGACTAATTTCATTCACCGGTGTCCAGATCTATAATGGAGTCCGGTGTATGAGTGTGTCCAGATCTACGATTGTGTCCGGTGTATCGGCCGATTTGGCCCCGTCTCACCGATTGGTTTGGCTGCTGTGTGACGGGCTGCGCGCCGCCGCCGCCAGGTGCGCGTGAGCTGCGAGTGCGGCCACCGCAGCCGAACGGTGGCCTGCAGCGACACGGGCGGCTTCCGGGCGCTTAGCACCTCGGCGCTGGCGCACCGGCTGTCTGCCATCCAGGCCGGCGGCGCCGGCGGCGTTGACGTCTCCGAGCTGCTGTCGGGCGCCGCCGGCGGGCCGGCCAGGGCCGCCAGGACCAGAGCGTGAGTCACCGGGGCACCGCCGGCGGGCCGGCCAGGGCCGCCAGGACCGGAGCGTGAGTCGCCGGGGCCGGGGCGGGAGTCGCCGGGGCGCCGCCAGGACCAGAGCGTGAGTCGCCGGGGCGCCGCCGGGGCCGGGGTGGGAGTCGCCAGGGCGGGAGTCGTCGGGCGACGATGCCGTGAACCGGCGCCTTGTAGCCGTAGCTTGTGTCAGCGCTCGCTTGGCCTAGCGGCGTGCCAGCGCTGCGGAGGAAGAGAGCTGCCTCCGGAGGTAACGGCTGCGCTCTGAACAGCCAGCACGGCTGTGCGGGGTGACCGGCTGGTGAGCCAGGGACTGTCTCCTGTGAGACTGGCGTTGGGTCGTTGGATGGCGCTCATCGTACTGGGGGTTGGGCCGGGACCGTCCGCGTACTGACGTCGTCCCCGGCCGCCGACAGGCTGCGGGGTGACGCCCAGTGTCTGACGCCGGCAGGCTGCGGGGTGACGCCCAGTGCCTGACGCCGACAGGCTGCGGGGTGACCCCCAGTGTCTGACGCCGGTAGGCTGCGGGGTGACGCCCAGTGCCTGACGCCGACAGGCTGCGGGGTGACGCCCAGTGTCTGACGCCGGTAGGCTGCGGGGTGACGCCCAGTGTCTGACGCCGACAGGCTGCGGGGTGACGCCCAGTGTCTGACGCCGACAGGCTGCGGGGTGACGCCCAGTGTCTGACGCCGACAGGCTGCGGGGTGACGCCCAGTGTCTGACGCCGGTAGGCTGCGGGGTGACGCCCAGTGTCTGACGCCGACAGGCTGCGGGGTGACGCCCAGTGTCTGACGCCGACAGGCTGCGGGGTGACGCCCAGTGTCTGACACCGACAGGCTGCAGGGTGACGCCCAGTGTCTGACGCCGACAGGCTGCGGGGTGACGCCCAGTGTCTGACGCCGGTAGGCTGCGGGGTGACGCCCAGTGTCTGACGCCGACAGGCTGCGGGGTGACGCCCAGTGTCTGACGCCGACAGGCTGCGGGGTGACGCCCAGTGTCTGACGCCGACAGGCTGCAGGGTGACGCCCAGTGTCTGACGCCGACAGGCTGCGGGGTGACGCCCAGTGTCTGACGCCGGTAGGCTGCGGGGTGACGCCCAGTGTCTGACGCCGGCAGGCTGCGGGGTGACGCCCAGTGTCTGACGCCGGTAGGCTGCGGGGTGACGCCCAGTGTCTGACGCCGGTAGGCTGCGGGGTGACGCCCAGTGTCTGACGCCGGTAGGCTGCGGGGTGACGCCCAGTGTCTGACGCCGACAGGCTGCGGGGTGACGCCCAGTGTCTGACGCCGGTAGGCTGCGGGGTGACGCCCAGTGTCTGACGCCGACAGGCTGCAGTGCAACGCCGAGTGCGCGCTGCTCGAGAGGAACCGTCGTCTGGCCGCGGCGCTTCAGATAAAAAACCCGGAGCTGTCGTCGCGGGCAGGGCCGCCCGCCTACCCGCCCTCCATGCTCGAGATGGCGCGCAAGGCGAAGGGTCTGGCCGAGGACGTACACCAGCAGCTGGCCGAGCTGGTCCAGCGGGCGCAGCAGGTCCGTACCGACGCGGCCGACGTTCCGCCGTACACCGGGACCCCCGTCCCACTGTATACCGGGACACCGTCCCACTGTACACCGGCACCCCCGTCCCACTGTACACCGGGACCCCCGTCCCACTGTGCACCGGGACCCCCGTCCCACTGTACACCGGGACCCCCGTCCCACCGTACACCGGGACTCCCGTCCCACTGTACACCGGGACCCCCGTCCCACTGTACACCGGGACCCCCGTCCCACTGTACACCGGGACCCCCGTCCCACTGTACACCGGGACCCCGTCCCACTGTATACCGTGACACCGTCCCGCTGTATACCGTGACACCGTCCCACTGTACAGTCTGTCTTAAAAGTACCGCGCAAAGTGACGGTGGATCCATCAGGCCTGACTGAGGTAGGGCCTGCTATAATTTGAAAGTCACCGAACCAATTGACCTAGGGAATGGACGAGGATGTGAATTGCTTCGGTGACTCAAATTTAGTAGGCCCTTCCTCGGTCAGGCATGATGGATCCACCGTCACTTTGCGCGGTACTTTTAAGACAGACTGTACACCGGGACACTGTCCCATTGCATACCTCGACCGCGCTTACTGAACTGTGTACTGTGACCTCGTCTTACCGTGCTGTGGCTCCGTCCCACGATTAACTGTGACCCTGTCCCACTGTACCATGTACTGTGTTCCCGTCCGACTGTACTGTGGCCCGCACTGTGACGCCGTCTGAGACCCGTCGCCTCGCCTCCGACCGGCAGTCAAAGCACAAGAGTCGGAGCGTGGCGTTCGCGCCAATGAACCGCGAGCGGCGCCAGTTTGTGCACGAGTACTGCGAACACTTTGGCTGCGAGTCCGAGAGCTACGACGACGAGCCAAAGAGGAACGTGGTGGCCACGGCCTACCGCGACAGGTGCTGGCTGCCCACCCTCAGCGTCCTGCAGGTACGGACAGCGTCCTGCAGGTACGGACAGTGTCCTCCAGGTACGGACAGCGTCCTGCAGGTACGGACAGCGTGCTGCAGGTACGGACAGCGTGCTGCAGGTACGGACAGCGTGCTGCAGGTACGAACAGCGTCCTGCAGGTACGGACAGTGTGCTGCTGGTACGGACAGTGTCCTCCAGGTACGGACAGCGTGCTGCAGGTACGGACTGCCGTGTCGATGAGGCGCGATGTTGCTGGTACCTGCAGCACACTGTCTGGTGGTGAACCACATTGTGGCTGGAAGGAGTAGATAATTGTATACAGACTCAGCCGGTTACTCAATTCCCAGCCGGTGCCGGCGGTACCAGCACCTGCCAAATATCTCCCGGTGCCCCCGAGTACGGCTCTCGCTAGATTAAGCGGTAGGTTTTGCACTTTTACATTTCCGGTTATGTCTCAGAAACTAATCGATCTACGATGAAGCCATTTTACACGATCATGGTCGGCTTGTGAACCAGCAAGTCGACCGCATCTTTAACACTTAAAAGTTTAAGACGACGAAGATATAGCCTGAAGTGCACTAAGTTTTCTAGGTGCAAAACCTACCGCTAAAACCCGCGAGACCTGTACATAGCTGCACCCCTGAGTACACTACAGCACCCCCGAGTACATTGCAGTACCCTCTAGTACATACTGTACCCCGGAGTCTGTGTCAGTGCCCTGCTCCCCGTTCCCAGGTCGTTGAGTCGGGCCCCAGGAAGATTGCGCCGGCGCCACGCCTGGGCTCTAAGCGCGAGAGCGCTGCCGCGGTGCCGGCTGGTGCCGCGACCACGGCGCCGTCGGTCGCCAGGTAAGCCTGGCGCGTCGACCGACCAAAGAAACCCATCGCGGAGAGCATATGGTAGCTTTGGCCTCTTTGCCTACAATCTTACGTGTAGAATGGCCACAGCTCTCACCGAAATAACTCGGTATATAGGGTGTCCGGCAACGGAAGAGTGAGCTCGAGAGGGAGTACTGCACTTGCAGAAGTGCGAAACGACGCCTTCAACTGGCTTGCGCGGGGCACTTAAGCAACCGGCCCTCAACGAAGCACTAAATTTTAACGCAATCGGCCCAACTGTTCTCATTTCCGTAACTCTGCGCGTAACACTACGGCCGTGCTGGCCTGGCGGCTCTCGCTCGGCGTCTGGGGCCAGCTCGCCGCTGCTCGATAACCAAAGGAGCATCTGGCGAGCTGCATGCGGAGCCGCGGTATTCGCGCCGCCGCTCCCCGGGTCCCAGAGATCTGTGTTTTTGATTCGCACGGCGCTGCGACAGCGGAGCTGTGCCTGCCAGGCGCCTTACGCGCCGGGCGGAGCGCTGTTACGGTAGCTGCGGTGGGGCCGACTGCTGGTGGGAGGCGCCGGGCGGCCCCGGGGGGGGGGGGGGCTAGTGCTAGGCGCCGGGCGGCCCCGGGCAGCTGCACTGGTGGGAGGCGCCGGGCGGCCCCGGGGGGCTGGTGGGAGGCGCCGGGGAGCTGATGGGAGGCGCCGGGCGGCCCCGGGGGGGGGGGGGGGACTGGTGGGAGACGCCGGGCGGCCCCGGGGGGCTGGTGGGAGGCGCCGGGGACCTGGGTGAGCTGTCCGAGGTGCCGTGTCGTGTCGGTGACGGCCGCCCGCCTGGTTCCAGTGCGCAGTCGAAGGAGCCGCCGGCGATCGACTATTTCGACTTCACCGGCTGACGGTGCTGGCCGGACGACCTCTCCGCCGGCGGCCGGACGAGCCCTCTGGCTGGCTCGCCCGGCCAGAGGGTGTGACGCCCCGCGCTGTACGAGCGGGGCCAGAGGGGCGCTGCGTTCCGCCGCCGAGCGGCCGGCGTCAGTGGACCGTGACTGCCAGAGCACTGGATGAACGTAGGGCCGCCCAGAGGGGCTCAGTGGGCTCCCACTGGGGCTCCCACAGCTCGCCCTCTGTGCCCAGGGTGCGGCCAGTCGCCGCCGGGTCCGTGGCCCGGCCCGCTGGCGAGCAGCACAGCCAGGGCTGGAGATGACCGCCGGCGGCGGCACCCGCCTCCCTGGCGCGCGCAATGTGTGACGCCGCCTGTCGGACCTGGGTCCCGGTGTGGATGGCAATGGTGCTGCGCCAGCCGGCTGGTGTGTGCTGCGGCCTGGAATAGTGCTGCGCCAGCCGGCTGGTGTGTGCTGCGGCCTGGAATAGTGCTGCGCCAGCCGGCTGGTGTGTGCTGTGGCCTGGAATAGTGCTGCGCCAGCCGGCTGGTGTGTGCTGTGGCCTGGAATAGTGCTGCGCCATCCGACTGGTGTGTGGTGCGGCCTGGAATAGTGCTGCGCCAGCCGGCTGGTGTGTGATGTGGCCTGGAATAGTGCTGCGCCAGCCGGCTGGTGTGTGCTGTGGCCTGGAATAGTGCTGCGCCAGCCGGCTGGTGTGTGGTGCGGCCTGGAATAGTGCTGCGCCAGCCGGCTGGTGTGTGCTGTGGCCTGGAATAGTGCTGCGCCAGCCGGCTGGTGTGTGCTGCGGCCTGGAATAGTGCTGCGCCAGCCGGCTGGTGTAACGTCTCGGTGAGCCAAGGGCCACCGCGTCTAGTTGATTGCTCTAAATAACATGTTTAGGTCCAAATTGTCAACAAGAAGTGTGTGTGTGTGTAGGTGTGTGCGGGAATTGCGCGGCGTGTGCTCAGAGTGTAGTTGCGCAGCGTGTGTTGGGAGTGGAGCGGGTCGCGAGTCACCAGTCACCGCTGTCCTAAATTACGGAACTGTATAGGGTAAATTGATTATTGCTGTTTGGGGAGTTATCGGGTGATCGGTGATATTTATTTTCAAATAAAAATTTTGAATCAAGAATGTGTTAAGGAAGGGTGGCGAGCTCTGTGTGCGGGAGACCGGGACCCTGTCCCCCTGCGGCCCTGTCCCCCCCCCCCCTGCGGCCCTGTCCTGTCCCCCCTGCAGCCCTGTCCCCCCTGCGGCCCTGTCCTGTCCCCCCCTGCGGCCCTGTCTCCCCTGCGGCCCTGTCCTGTCCCCCTGCGGCCCTGTCCAACCTGCGGCCCTGCCCCCCCCCCTGCGGCCCTTCCCCCCCTGCGGCCCTGCCCCCCCTGCGGCCCTGTCCAACCTGCGGCCCTGTCCAACCTGCGGCCCTGTCCCCCTGCGGCCCTGTCCTGTCCCCCCTGCGGCCCTGCCCCCCCCCCTGCGGCCCTGTCCTGTCCCCCCTGCGGCCCTGTCCCCCCTGCGGCCCTGTCCCCCCTGCGGCCCTGCCCCCCCCCCCCTGCGGCCCTGTCCCCCCTGCGGCCCTGTCCTGTCCAACCTGCGGCCCTGTCCCCCCTGCGGCCCTGTCCAACCTGCGGCCCTGTCCTGTCCCCCTGCGGCCCTGTCCAACCTGCGGCCCTGTCCAACCTGCGGCCCTGTCCCCCCTGCGGCCCTGTCCCCCCTGCGGCCCTGTCCCCCCTGCGGCCCTGTCCAACCTGCGGCCCTGTCCAACCTGCGGCCCTGTCCCCCCCTGCGGCCCTGTCCCCCCTGCGGCCCTGTCCCCCCCCTGCGGCCCTGTCCTGTCCCCCCTGCGGCCCTGTCTCCCCTGCGGCCCTGTCCTGTCCCCCTGCGGCCCTGTCCAACCTGCGGCCCTGCCCCCCCCCCCTGCGGCCCTGTCCCCCCTGCGGCCCTGTCCTGTCCAACCTGCGGCCCTGTCCCCCCTGCGGCCCTGTCCAACCTGCGGCCCTGTCCTGTCCCCCCTGCGGCCCTGTCTCCCCTGCGGCCCTGTCCTGTCCCCCTGCGGCCCTGTCCAACCTGCGGCCCTGCCCCCCCCCCCCCCCTGCGGCCCTGTCCCCCCTGCGGCCCTGTCCTGTCCAACCTGCGGCCCTGTCCCCCCTGCGGCCCTGTCCAACCTGCGGCCCTGTCCTGTCCCCCTGCGGCCCTGTCCAACCTGCGGCCCTGTCCAACCTGCGGCCCTGTCCCCCCTGCGGCCCTGTCCCCCCTGCGGCCCTGTCCAACCTGCGGCCCTGTCCAACCTGCGGCCCTGTCCCCCCCTGCGGCCCTGTCCCCCCTGCGGCCCTGTCCAACCTGCGGCTCTGTCCAACCTGCGGCCCTGTCCAACCTGCGGCCCTGTCCAACCTGCGGCCCTGTCCTGTCCCCCTGCGGCCCTGTCCCCCTGCGGCCCTGTCCAACCTGCGGCCCTGTCCAACCTGCGGCCCTGTCCAACCTGCGGCCCTGTCCTGTCCCCCTGCGGCCCTGTCCAACCTGCGGCCCTGCCCCCCCCCTGCGGCCCTGTCCTGTCCCCCCTGCGGCCCGCCGAGGCTCGGACCCGGCCGCGCTGGTGGGGAATCGCGCAAAAATCGATAGACCTACGATATTGCTGTTTCGATAGGTAGGCAATGTCCTGCAAGCGTCGGTGCACAGGCCGCGGCGACCCCATCGAGGTGCTGCTTACAAGCAGCGAGTGGTCGTGCGCACTCCTGCATATCCCGCCCGTCCTTCCCTGAAAAGTCATCTTTTCGTTTCTTCGTCTTGGGGTGACGGAGGGAGACGGCTGAGGGTCTCGCCATCGGGACACTCGGTTCGAAATCGCTTCCCGTGTCTCGCCATCGAGACGCGGGTGCGGGACTCCTCTCATTCACGGGGTGCGACCGGTCGGCTCCGGCTAACCCGCCGGAGTACCACTGATCTGTCTGCAGTCCGTGGCCTCGCCATCGAGGGGCTGAATCAGGCAGTGGCTGGCGCCTTCCTCACCATCCTTTCTGTTCCAATGAAACCAGAGGACAGCGTGGCGACAGTGGTAGTGCAGCCACCTTGAACTGTTCGGCGCAGCGCACGGCTCGTTCGGCCGAGCGCATGTATTTCAGAATTGGTATTGCATAGGTGCGTTTCCAAAACAGCGCAACCAATTTCGAAGGTAGTAAGTTCCTGGTAAGCTCAATTTCATCAGAGGTCACTTACTTTCGCGTGTAAAATGTGCATTGGTATTCCGCTTACCGCGGGGAAGTGAATTCGATGCCTCATCGATAAGATATTTTTGGAAACATCTGTGCTTAACCTTCCAGGTGGTCCGGGGGGGGGGGGGCATTTTTTTGCAACCCCTTCTTTAGTTTTTTTCGATATATCTCCAGAACCGCTGCGCCGATCGTCACCAAACTTTCAGTACCCTCCCGTGAGCAGCTATTGCACATTGTGACCAAAAAAAAAAAAAATCAAAGGCTATGATAGGTTGGCCGCAAATGACGTCAGAGTGACGTCATTTCTGCCATTTTCAACCCAAAAAGGTTTCGTGGGAAGAGCTGTCAGGCCTACAGCTTTGGAGATGCAGAAAAATGTTTTTGACATAAAAGGTGTAGAATTAAAAGGGCTACAAAACTTCTATCTCGCATTTTTGAAATTTTTGGATTTTGAACCCCAAAAATCAAAAAATAGATTTTTTGAATACAATAACCGAAAAATCCAAAAAGTTTTTTGAATTTCGAAAAAACCGGAATATATGTGATAGTCCCTACCGCCTTCTATCTACATACCCAATTTGAGATCGATACCTCTTTTTTTTGGCCAAGTTATAGCGAAAAAAACTTCAAAATTGATGACGTCAAATTTTCAAGCTCAATTTATAGCAATTCTAGACCTCGTAGCGCAAAACAAAGACCACCATTAGACTCCCCGTGATGAGCTGCATCGAATAAATGCCCATTTTATGCAAATTTATCAACTTTGAAATTTGACCTTTTATGACCTGACCTTGACCTGACCTCCACCAGAAAGTGACCTAAACTGTACCTGATGGTCTTATAACCAACACCATTGAGTTGGAAATGAAAAAATTGGCCATAAAACATGCATCGCACAACCTTAGTAAAGTTGGGTTCATGTGGTGACGCTTGGTGACCCTTGGTGACCTGACCTGTGACCTGACCTGGTACGACCAGTGACCTCTAATAGCAACATACGTACTAAACAACTGACGCCCTAGCGCTGATTTTCAACAAAATGCGTTTTCCTCGGCGTTTTCCCTAGAGGACCCGTGAACGGTGAAACATTTTATCTTTGACCTGACCTGTGACGTCATCGGTGACCCCGAGGTCAATGAAATTTGGTTTCCCATGGCAAATTTGACAGGGCTATCGAACACCGTTTGAATTTTCCGGATCCGTTCAGTAGTTTCGGAGATACGGGGGGGGGGGCAAAAAATCCCCCCCCCCCCCACCGCGCGGAAGGTGGCCGGGAGGCCCACCGCCTGCCGGGTTAAAGGGTAGCGCGAAGCCGTGTCAAATGGCCACATCAACGCAACCTTAACTCTCAGTCTTCCCTTGATTATCAGTCTCACTATGTGAAGTAACCTACACTCGACAGAACGGTGCACCGAAATTATATGCCTATATAATGTGTGGTGCGCTGTAATTGAAACGATCTGACGAATAATGTACACTATGCTATGTCTAATGCATTTGAAACTGGGCCACTTTTTCAGTACCTATACCTATGTATGAATGTACAGGGTGAGCCATAAAGATTTACCCATCGAAAATTTAACTTTGTTTCAAGGCGCGCTGACATAGCTATGTCATCTTTTACATACATATAACAACGTCATCTCCTAACTAATTAATGTAGTCTGTTTTTTGTATGCTTGCATTCTTCTTATGTTACGCGCCCGAGACGCGAGAGCACTATGGCACGCAGCCGCCGCACCGTCTTTTCACTTATTTTCCTCGATCACCCATGCTATAACAATGCTGCGTCGTATGTCATTTGCGGTGTTTCAGGGACTCGGTAGAGCCGGGTTTTCAGGATATTTCAGTTTGCGAAGCCCGTGGGGCTGAAGTCGGAGATAAATTGTGCCCAGCACTGTACTGCACCGTACCGCCCAAATCGCCTACACTAATACAAAAATTCCTGCACTAAGTACCGCCAAAATTGAGCATAAAGGAGTGTGGTTTTCTGTTTTCACTTTTGCATGAGAGAGAGAGAGAGAGAGAGAGAGAGAGAGAGAGAGAGAGAGAGAGAGAGAGAGAGAGAGAGAGAGAGAGAGAGAGAGAGAGAGAGAGAGGGAGGGAGGGAGGGGAGAGAGATGCTGTGCATCGGGCTGGCCGTGCGGCGTGTATTGTTTTCAGTTTCAGAGAACATCAGGCACATTTTGTCTCCCCCGGTCGGGCCGGTTTATGCACTGTATCTATTCACTGGGCCGGTCGGAGGACTGGGGCCGGCCGGCCGCCGCGCCGGTCCGGTCCGGTCCGGCGCGCACATCAGACGAACGGCATCGACTCGAGCGACATACCGCCGGAGACGAAGCCGGCCACCTCCTGCGGGATGGCCTTGCTCTCCTCGGCCTGGGTGCACGGCCGGCACATGCACTCGACCGGCGCCCGGGTCACGATCTGCCGGCCAGGTCAGTCGGGTCACACAGAGCCAGCCGGCCGGCCAGCATGGCCCGCTCAACTAGCCTAATGAACTGGAGCTCGGCGCAACATTGAACCAATCATAGGGGAGGGTGGGGTAAGACGGCCCAGTCTTTGCACGGACCACCAGCCTTCCCGGCTGAACCGCTGCTGGTATCTGCTGCTTAATCCAGCCACTACATTTGTCTTCCTTCGGAACAATGGCCACCTTGAGCTCATGGGGCTAGGATGCATAGATTTTGAGCTATTCAGAAAAATGTTGTTTTTCGTCAACCCGAACTAATATAAGAGGCCTAAAGGTGATTTAAGTTCGGCGCCTTTCTTGCATGATAAGTTTTTATTTGCGCTTTACTGCGAAGAACAATGTTAAAGTCAAACTTTAGGACAAGCAAGATTTTGTAATGCTGGGCTATTTAACATATAGGTAGGTACGTCATGATAATTACGTCTTTGTTGCATGTGAGCCATGCATGCAACTTGCAAGTTGCATGCATGATGAATTTGCCTGTAATTGGGAGTTCGGTTGGCGATGTGTTTAATAAATAGGTAAATAAATAAATAAATAAATAAATAAATAAATAAATAAATAAATAAAACAAGTGCTCAACTAGCATGCATTCATGCCAAACGATAATCAACACGCAGGTTCCTAGCTTTTAGTTGCACTTGCATCACCGATGAGTATAGAATAAAGGCCCATTTTGTTATTTTACCACTTTGGTTACTTCTAGGTACTTACAAGAGTACCGAGCAGAAGTGTAACAAACATGAATGGATAGCAGGCACTGCTGGGTCCACAGGGGAGCACTGCCGCTTCAATCCTATTGGCCGTGGTGTCTAACGGTGGCGGCCATATTGCGCAGACCAAGAACCGGCCGCCGCCTGTGTTGAGGAATAGGGAATTCGGGACCCCGATTTACGTTTGCGGCCGCCACATCCGTTACGTTCAAGTTACGTAGATACGGAACCCGGCATCTTACGCAGAATTGAGTGGGAAACACGATCGTATCTTCAGAATTCCTTAAATTCACTCGCCGGACCTACATTTGCCCCGGCCGAGGGGGTTGATTGAACCCACCTCGCTAATGCGCCGCTAATTTAACTAGAATTAAGCGGTAAAGTGGTCGTATGCGGCAAAGTATAATGCAGAGTGACTGGTAGGAACCCGCTGTAAAGGTCTCAGGTCAACCGGTGACCTCTGAGGTCAGGTCAAGTGATCTAAGGCAAGGGTTCGGTTTTTGGTAAATAACTTCGCCAAAAATGGCCGTAGAGCCGCGATTTTGGCATCATCGTGTTCAGCTAGCTCAGGCGCATCGAATGATATACTTTTTGTTCGGGTCAGGACAACTTAGGGTGTTGACCTCAGGTCAAGGTCAGGTCAGCACCCCCAGGTCACGAAGTTGGTCGAAAGAGGTCATGTCGCATATCATTCGATTCGGCAGGTCTTCCTGAGTCCATTGGTGGCTTTCCCGACTCGCTAGCTCAATTTGATCGGGAGTTATTGAAGAAAAATTGTGACCCTTGTGACGTCACAAATGACGTCACGCAAGGGCAACAATGTAAATATGAAGCATAGAACCTTGCAAGGAGTGCATGAAATCATGATTCTATATGCTTGAGATAGTTTCAGATCATTCTCGGCGCCAAAATAGCAATTTTCATATTTCCCCATTGACTTATAAGGGTTTAACGTATTAGTTCCTTATATCTGAGGATTTTTTAGGATTTCATCTTGTTCTCCACTCAATTCTGCGTAAGATGCTGGGTTCCGTGTCCACATAGCTTGAACGTAACGGATGCAGCGACCGCAAACGTAAATCGAGGTCCCGAATTCCCTATTCCCCAGCACAGGCGGCGGCCGCTTTCTGGTCTGCGCAACATGGCGGCACCGTTGGACACCATCTGGCGGCCGATGCGCATTCCACATTATAGAGTTCAGTGGCTGGGTCTTACCCCGCATTTTTTCTTGTCGGTGGTTTTGACATGTCCCCCTTTAAGAGCTCAGCCACCGCCTCGATTTCTTGAAGTTGAAATTCAGTCTTTGCACATATCAAAAGAGGAAGGATTAAGCATGCAGAAGACTATAAACTATATGAGTTACGAGAACAGTGTAGACAGATACGCGTCCTTAAACCTCAGCTGGTCCGTCTTACTCCACCTTCCCCCGCTTAGCCGTGGGAACAAAAGTAACGAAGGCACGAATGATGACGTAAATGCCTTTTCCACTCGATTAAAATTTATTAATTTTTATTTCACTCGCCCTACGGTTCCATAAGCTGTATAAAAGGGACGACTAGTGACTACGTATAGGTAAATAGTAGTAGGTAGCTGCGTGGCTGTGGCATGAGCTGCGAGGCTTTCAGCCAGACATCACAATAAATGCTACATTCGGTTCAAGATAAACTGGTTCGGTGGGCATTTCAGTAGCGTCTCGGTAAAGCCCCTTGGATGCGGGACGGACCTTTAGCTACCTGTGGAATCGACAATGGAGAGCTTAATAATGGGGCTATAGCCTCAGGTGACCCATGTGAAAAGTTTGGGATGTGCACCCAGTAAACATGCCGACGTCGGCCCGACGTCGGCCGACGTCGGGGTGACGTCGGCAACTCGGCATCGGCATGCCGACGTCGGCCCGACGTCGGTCCAACCTCGGCACGACGTCGGCTGGATGTCGGATATGCCCGCATGTTCCGACGTCCAGCCGAGGTCCAGCCGACGTCGGGCCGACGTCGGACCGAGATCAATTGCTGAGGTCCAGCCGACGTCGGGCCGACGTCGGGGCGACGTCGGACCGACATCGGCGGCTGTTTTGACCGTTAAAATAATATAAAATACATGTTTCATGTTTCATAAAGAGCTTCTGTATTCAAAATATCCTCAGGAAACTCAAATTTGCCTCCACGCCGCAACCCCCTGATCCGGACTGGACGGGAAACTTTATCCCATTTGGGATTGCCCGTAAGCCGAGCTCGCCCGTAGCCGGGTGCCGTGAGTGCTTGGGGGCTGCTCGGCCTATCCTTTGGTCAGGCTCAGCCCCGGCAACTCACCAGGGCCGGGCCCAGTTCATATAGAAAGGCCAGTCGGCAAGTGTCACTTTGCCAAAGTGCCACTTATCAAAGGGACACTTTGGGAAACGTTGGTGCAGGTGTGTAAGAGTGGCTATATGAATCCATTGTGGGGTCGCCCTTTCCAATAAGTGTCACGTAACAGCAATGGGACCAGGGACTCTATATGAACTGGACCCAGGGTGCTCGCCAAGAAGACCAATGTCTCCATCCTATGATCCTTCCGGCTCTGAAATGGTCTTGTCAGACCGAAAGGGCATAACCGAACAAAACAAACCAAGTTTGCTAGCTGGCTGCTTGGTGTAGTGGTTAGCGCGCTAACCTCGCGTTCGAATGACACTGGGTTCGTATCCCATCGCCGGCTGATGCTTTTGGCGTGTTGTCCCAGTAAACATGCCGACGTCGGCGACTGGGGGGCTCGAATCCCGCCGCCGGTTGATATTTTTGGCGCGTTGTCCCAATAAACATGCCGACTTCGTCCCGTCGGTCCAACGACAAACGATCTCGTCAACCTCGGCAAACGATCTCGGCCCGACGTCGGCTCGACGTCGGCTGGACTTCGGCTGGACGTCGGAACATGCGGGCATATCCGACGTCCAGCCGATGTCGGGCCGAGGTTGAACCGACGTTGGGCCGACGTCGGGCCGAGCCTCGGCCCGACGTCGGGCCGACGTCGTCATGTTTACTGGGCATATACCGACTTACAGAATATCGGTGCTGGATTTGTTTTAAGCATAGAGCATGGAAACTTGGAACATGGAGCTTACACATAGAAACGAGTTATTTCTATCCGTAGGTTCTATCTGGTTCACAATGGCATGGGCCCCTGGCATGAACACTGAAAAACGCTGTAACAGAATTCAATAGCTTTTAAACCATCAGAGATTTAGGTACCTACATATGACGCCTGACGGCATGGTCAGTGACTTGACCTGACCTGAAAATGAGCCAGCTGTTTGCTCGAAAAGGCGTATATGCATCAGTTGAAAATGCCAATGAACTGAAAATGAATATGAAAATGGGTACGCTGGTTCCCTCACCTTTCGGAACTTTTGGTCGCTTTGTTTGGCCTTGGGGCAGAAGATTGAGACGGAGGCCTCTCGCTGGCCACTCTCTTGGCAGCACATGCAGGAGCGCTCCGTTTGCCACAGTTTGCTGCCGGAGACCTGCGGTGGCAGACGAGACCGTCAGCTCGTCTGTCACAGGACAGTTAACTACCGGCACGGTTCGTCTGTCACAGTTTTGGAGACAGTCAGTCCATCCGTCGCATAGACTTGTCAGTTATGTCAGGGAAAGGCAGGTCTGACCCGCCGGCCGGTCGGCAGTTGGGGGGTGGGGGTTGGGGGGGAGGGTCCGTCCCGCCGGCCGGTCGGCAGAAGTGGGGAGGGGGAGGGTGGCGAGGGTCCGTCCCGCCGGCCGGTCCAGGTCGGCACCGTCCACTCACCTGCACATAGCTGGTGCAGTGGCCGACGCAGGCGTACGACGGAATCGGCTTGGGCACACAGCCCGGGTACTGGAGCACGTGCACGACCGGCGTCAGTTTGCACTCATCGGCGCCGGTGAGCGCCAGCCGCGAGGCGGCCACCGTCAGCGCGGCCACCAGAACCAGGCACCAGCTCATGGCGACACACCCTGCCGCCGACGGCACCGGTCAGCTCAGCTCAGAGTACGAGTACACACTACACAGGTCACAGCACAGGCCGCATCGAAACTCACAGACCAGCTCTCAGGGCCGGTCACAGGCCAGGTCACAGCGCACGGGCTACCTCACAGGTCAGCTCACAGACCACCTGGGTCACATATCACGTCATAGGTCAGGCATAGGACGGTTCGCAGGGTCACACCAGGTCGAGGGCCGGCCACAGGCCATCATGGGGGTCATAAATCGAGTGGTGTAGATACGTTTAAGCCACTTGCGTGAAGAACAATATGTCAATCGTCTTGCCCTTGGCTCGACCATTACCATTTTTTATTCCTGCTCCTGATTTAATTATACCATTAACTGCCTCGTCCGCTAACCGTCAACAGAGCAGCACAGAGACATGCACATTGCACATGCAGAGAGGAGACTAGCGCTGTATCCGAAAAATAATCCGTCGTCGTGATTTGGCGTCTTACTTTGGCTGTTATATCCGCTCTAGCTTTTCCCTTCGATCGGCACGAACCTGGCGCCGTCCACGTCATGGTTGGGCCGCCCGGTCCCGGTCAGCGGCAGGTGACAGTCGGTGACGCTCCCGCCCCGCTGCTGGCGGCGGCCCGACTGACGCCGCTGACCGGCCGACCGACCGGCGCCGGCGCTGCCCCGCGCAGGCCGCACCTCCCGGCCACCGTATTCAGACGACTGAGCCAGCCCGGCAGGGACGCCCCGAAAGCAGCGCTTCTCGGCCGCTGCTGGCCACGCGCATAGTTCGACCGAGGGCTGCTGATCGGACATGCCGCGGCTCGGAGGTGCACCACAGACGCCCCACACCCCACCACTGCACACTGCACAGTGCAGACGCCCCACACCCCACCACTGCACACTGCACAGTGCAGACGCCCCACACCCCACCACTGCACAGTGCACACTGTACAGTGCAGACGCCCTACACCCCACCACTGCACACTGCACATTGCAGACGCCCCACACCCCACCACTGCACACTTCACAGTGCAGACGCCCCACACCCCACCACTGCACAGTGCACACTGTACAGTGCAGACGCCCCACACCCCACCACTGCACACTGCACAGTGCAGACGCCCCACACCCCACCACTGCACACTGCACAGTACAGACGCCCCACACCCCACCACTGCACACTGCACAGTGCAGACGCCCCACACCCCACCACTGCACACTGCACAGTGCAGACGCCCCACACCCCACCACTGCACACTGCACAGTGTAGACGCCCCACACCCTACCACTGCACACTGCACAGTGCAGACGCCCCACACCCCATCACTGCACACTGCACAGTGCAGACGCCCCACACCCCACCACTGCACACTGCACATTGCAGACGCCCCACACCCCACCACTGCACACTGCACAGTGCAGACGCCCCACACCCCACCACTGCACAGTGCACACTGTACAGTGCAGACGCCCCACACCCCACCACTGCACACTGCACAGTACAGACGCCCCACACCCCACCACTGCACACTGCACAGTGTAGACGCCCCACACCCTACCACTGCACACTGCACAGTGCAGACGCCCCACACCCCACCACTGCACACTGCACAGTACAGACGCCCCACACACCACCACTGCACACTGCACAGTACAGACGCCCCACACCCCACCACTGCACACTGCACAGTGTAGACGCCCCACACCCCACCACTGCACACTGCAGACGCCCCACACCCCACCACTGCACACTGCACAGTACAGACGCCCCACACACCACCACTGCACACTGCACAGTGCAGACGCCCCACACACCACCACTGCACACTGCACAGTACAGACGCCCCACACCCCACCACTGCACACTGCACAGTGTAGACGCCCCACACCCCACCACTGCACACTGCAGATGCCCCACGCCCCACCACTGCACACTGCACAGTGCAGACGCCCCACACCCCACCACTGCACACTGCACAGTGCAGACGCCCCACACCCCACCACTGCACACTGCACAGTACAGACGCCCCACACCCCACCACTGCACACTGCACAGTGTAGACGCCCCACACCCTACCACTGCACACTGCACAGTGTAGACGCCCCACACCCCACCACTGCACACTGCAGATGCCCCACGCCCCACCACTGCACACTGCACAGTGCAGACGCCCCACACCCCACCACTGCACACTGCACAGTGCAGACGCCCCACACCCCACCACTGCACACTGCACAGTGTAGACGCCCCACACCCTACCACTGCACACTGCACACTGCACAGTGCAGACGCCCCACACCCCACCAAAAACACCAGGGCCCAATCTTACCAAATGCCGTGAATACGCAGTCACAGCATTTGGTAACATTCAAAGCTATTCAACATCCATTTATTCATTCGCTCGGGCAGCATTCATAATCATTCACGCTACAAAATCATTGGACAAGATGAGCTGGGTGTAAATAAAAAGGATATCAATATCATTGATATCAGTGCCGCTAACTTCGGCCAGTGCTGCCAAATTCTATTTACGGCATTGGTAAGATTGGGCCAGAAATGAGGAAGCTGATGTCGTGCGCTGGACTGGTGGCTCCAATCAGTGGCAATACGACGTGCCCCACTGGCGCCAAGTACAGTCTGTCTTAAAAGTACTGCGCAAAGTGACGGCGGAACCATCAAGCCTGACCGAGGAAGGGCCTGCTAAATTTGAGTCACCGAAGCAATTGACATCCTCGTCCATTCCCAAGACAATTGGTTCGGTGACTTTCAAATTATAGCAGGCCCTACCTCGGTCAGGCTTGATGGATCCACCGTCACTTTGCGCGGTACTTTTAAGACAGACTGTAGGTACGTCTATAGCCCACTTAATAAATGCGTAGCCTCGGCCGTCCTTGTCCTCTTCTGCGAGCGTGATCTGTACTGCCACCTGCCACACTGGGGCGCTGATTTTGGCCCCTCACTGCAGCGGGCGCCTACTGCCGACTGGAACATAGACTGTGCCGCAGTACCGCCGGGCGCTGCGGGTCAGCATACCCGCCAGGGTCTCCGGCCGGCCCGCGCTGCCGCGGCGGGCACCGAGCAGGGCGGTAACGGAGGGGGCCGGACGCTGCACAGGAAATAGGGCGACCCGACAGTCCCGCAGCCTATATACGGAACAACTCAAATCTGTGTAAATAATTCACAACCGACAGAAATGTCGATTTTCAAAAGACCCATTACTACCTAGACAGCCTGCGAGAGTTAAACATTTCGTCATAATTGCGGAGAGCGGCGGCATTTCGGAATTCGCAGCAGCCTCTAAAGGTGTGTGCCTATTGGTAAACGTTTTGCACATGTTGTGTAACTTTCAGACCTGCAGGTCGCTTAAGGTCAGGTCACCAATCACAAGTGAACTAGCCTCAAAGTTTTCATGCTCGTCACAGCAACACTGACAGGTGATTGCTTTCAAGCTTTCAGCGATTGATAAAAGTGATAGCATAATGCAAAATGTAAATCTCGGATTTTTAAATTAATATTGGTGCCTATTCGTAAGATCACTCATGAGACCATGCTCTGTCATTTTAATGCAATGTATGAATATTGAACTGAGACGTTATTGGACGAAAGCCACTCCATTCACTCTATAGGCACCTATTACAGAGTTAAAAAAAAAAACATTTTCTGCACAAACGACAATTTTTTCCATGCGCTCAAGCAAGATTTAACTAATCCAACCCGGCATTAGAAGCGTTATTACGGAGCGAGCGAAGCGAGCGTAGTCTTTCCTTAGATTAACGGAAATTTCTGAGTATGAGCGGCCGGCCGGCCGGCCGTGGTCACGCTTTTGCGAGGCTTATATCTTAGCAAGCACTTGACCGATTTACACGCGGTAATTTTTGTAGGGTAGCTTCATTGCTTCTACCAAGTATTGGACTATTGCCGATGCATGTGGGTGACCCCTTATGCACGTGCCACGTGCAAAACGAAGAGGTGTCAGTTTTATAATTGTTGCAATATCTCGGTAATTACTTGGCCGATTGCGCTGAAAGTTGGCATGTAGGTAGGCACCCACTAGGCACTGCATATACATGTGCCAGAATTGGGGTGCTGCTGCACGTGCGCACGTGCAGGGGTCGTTTCCAGATCTCGGGAATGGCTGGACCGATTGCGCTCAAATTTGGTACACGGTTAGGGACCGGTTAGTAGGGTGCCGTGCACAAGTCAGTTGGGACCCATTTTGCACGTGCGCACGTGCAGGGTGCCGCTTCCAGATCTCGAGAACGGCTGGGCCGATTGTGCCCAAATTTGGCACATCGCTAGAGACCAGTTAGTAGGGTGCCGTGCGCAAGTCAGTTGGAGGTACCCCCTCGCAATTTCGCACGTGCAAGGCCCACCCTCTCGCTCGCTCCGTTAGTCGCCCCAAAAGGCGTTATACTGGTACAATAGTTGTTCAAAATGCATAAAAATTGTTAGCCTGATGTGCCCGATAAAAGAACGCTATATGATGTTGAATCTAACAACAAAACATAAAAATCAATCGAAAAACACATTTTTGGTTATACCTCCATAAAGAGGCATAACAATTTCTTTCCAGTCTGCTCATATACATGCTCATGTAATCAGGGGCGTCACCACGGATTTTTGAATGAGGGTACGGATTGGCTGACTAAAAACCCAAAAGTTAGTTACCATACAATTTCAGGCCTATGCACTACTTGTAACGCATACACATGTTATGTTCTCATGTTCTTCTCGCGTAGAGGCGTTATTATATCTTTTTATTATCTCTTTATCTCTCTTCTTTATCTCTCTTTATCTCTATATCTTTTTATGTCTCAATATCTCTTTACTACCTGTGCTTCGCGCCGCGAAAATTAGCAATAACGCCTGGCAAAACAGCTTCAAAACGCATGAATTTTGCATACCGCATAATAAGTTTGATACCAGGACAGCTAGGGTCTGTGAGAGATTGAAGTAAACCTTCGTTCGTCGTTTCTGTTGTACTAGAACTAGACATCCGGCATTTGGCAGCATTTGGCTGGCCTATCATTACAGCGTTTGTGCCGCAGCAAATACGTAAAGAGGCATGATGAAAGCGTTTTGGGCTAATACGGTCGTCACTGGGGACTCGTGGCGTGTTGACGTAACCCACACAGGGTCTGGTCACCAAGTTCAGCAGCCCTGCCTCTAAAAAAATTTGTGTGGTCCTCTGTCAACAATAGGTACAGCTTTTTTCCCAGAAAGAAAACTTTGGAAACTTTGTGCAGTGTAACTGCAGGACTGCGGGGTCGGAGTCGACTTCGGTCGTATCGGCGGTTCTGGTCGGATACTGAGTTGGAGTTACCGAAATCTTAACAGACTTCGACTCTGAAGTCGGAGTCAACGTCATCCCCGAGGATGGGTCGGATAAGAGCTGGAGATTCTGTTGGCTGTGGCGATTGTAGGAGTCGTGGTAAAACCAATGTAGGACTATACTGAGTACTAAGTTTCCTGGGCCCTCTCAGACCGGGACGAGGTCCTCTCGCATCAGGCGTTCAAAGGCCATGGTGAGACTTTCTACTGTTGGATGGCTTCGAACGGGAAGACGGCCGGCCGTTTGAGTGTGAGCTGAAGGACTTGACTATTGCGAATGTCCTAAAATATGTGTCTCTGCAAGCTGTCATCCGGTCCCACCCTGAGAGTTCGGGACCGATGTTTTG